CCTGCTGTAAAAACTGAAGGCACTTTTAAGCATGTTCAGGGGTCATCTTCCAAATCTTCCAAGTTTGCGCCATTCTGTTGAGAATGTGAGAGAGTAGCCCTCTCAAACCTGGTGTGCCACTCAGATGTGTGGGACAACAACTCCTATATTCTGCAGACAGGATGATGGTAGTTGTGGCCCAGCACATCTGAGATGCACCAGGCTGGGCAAACTGCGGGAGCATCACTGCCGTTGCATCGCAGCTCAGTTAAAGACCTGGGACCAATCCTTGCTGTGTAAAGCGACAGGTGCTCACATCTGCCTGAAAGCCACTCCAGGGATCGTGGGGAAGGCCCTGCACCAGGGGGTGCAATTTGTGGCCTTCGGGTGGCCCTGGCCCGTGCTTTGCAACTGCCTCAGCCAGCATGGCCAATGGTCAGGAATGGCGGTAGTGGAGCTCCAAGTTCTCTCTACCCTTGCTCTTAACAGACTTCGCTCTGCGCCAGCTGATCGGTATAGAGAACAATGCCAGATATTGCCATCAGTTAAATTTAAGTGTGTGTGTGTGTGTGTGTGTGTGTGTGTGTGTGTATTGCTGGATCAGATCAAAATTCACATAGCCCAGCTGTCTGTTTCCAGCAGTGGCCAGCCAAATGCCTCTGAAAGCTTTCAGGCAGAATGCAGTGGAGATTATAATCCTTTGTCTGGCCTCAAAAGTTGGTGCTTGGGTATGCTCACTTTGACCAGGCATGGTGGGCAGAGCAACATCAAAACAGACGTAGAACATTCAGTGTGCTGCATGCAGGGTTTGCTTCTGTAAAAGGAAGGGCTCTGCTCAGAGACAGACTCTCCACCCAATATAGGGGATCCCCTCTCCCACACATCAGCCCCTTCAGGGGGTTTGCCTGAGTTCATGTAGTATTTTCAGGTGTCTGGGAAGGGTTGTCATGGGAAGGAGGGGGCAGAAAGACCACTCCCATCATTGCAGCCTAAATCTGGATCCACGTCCTCCTCTAATGTGCCGAACCCCATATTTAAATTAACAGGGAGCCCCTCCTCAGGTTATGCTGCGGAAGCCATGGTGCCCGTGCCTTGGAGGTCATTTTGGAAGTGGATCTTAAACACCTTTCAGCAACGCAAACTGAGGCCATTGAAGTATAGCTAGACTGCTGCCGCTGGAGGTGTGCATTGTTTCATGCTCCCCAATAGACACCTGCGTGGCAAAAAAACTCCTGACATTTTAGGAAGAACAAGCCTTGTAGGGCATTTGGGTGCATTGCTTGGGGGTGGGGGGAGGCAAGCAGGTTGAACCTGCAGGAGCACTGAACAATCAACTACACTTGCAGTGTGAAGTGGCAAGGTCTGCTCATCCCCATCTGAGCCATACCACTTCATTATGCAGCATAAACCAGTTGTTAGACTATGACTCCCATCATCCTGTTTCGGCTGGGATGGACAAGTGCTGGACTCTCACAACATCTGGAATGCTGCAGATTCCCCAGAGAAGGGACAGTGGCTCAGTAGTGGAGCATTGGCTTTGCATAGAAAAGGGGCCAGGTTCAAGTCCCTGATGTTGGCAGGCAGTGCTGGAAAAAGTCCTGCTCAGAACCTGGAGAGCCACTGCCAATTCATGTTAACGCTACTGGGCCAGATGGGCCAAGGGTCTGACATGGCAGCTCTCCAGGCAGCTTCTTGTATTCCATGTGCAAGGCATGAATGTATTTACAATCAAACAGTTGCTGACTGTATGAAGATAGGCGTGGTGTGTATAAGAGGCCTGCTACCAGGAAGAAGTCTAGCAAAACTTTGCATTCAGCACAAAGCGAAACCTTGCTTCATTTGCCCAGGCTCCCCTCTGGCTGTCACCTCTTTGCCTCTCCTTGGAAACACTCAAGAATGGAAGGCAGAGCTCAGGAAGGGGAGGAAAGACTTCCATGGGGCTTGCAGGAGGATGGGAAATCAAATCTCCCCACAGCTCTGAGCAACTGTCTGGAAGCTTCGAAAGCTGAGCTGGCACAGGCAGGTGGTTGCACAGCTGCGCCATTTGGATCATGCGCTCCCATCAATATTCATGAGGCAGCCTGGCCAATCAGCAGAGTAGCTGTCATTAGTGAGCATCTGGCTAGTGAGAAGAGGTTTGTTCTGTTTTTTTGTGAGGTTGTGGTGGGGGGGGGGTTGCAAGTGAACTTCTTTTGACATTTTGAGAATTTTCCTCTGTAGGTTTCAAAGTCCTCTTCTCCCGCCCTCCACCTGTGCAGTTGGCCGAGTCCCTGCTGAAATGCAGGCCTCAAAGCCCTCCTGCAATGTAGAGCTACGTCCAAGGAGAGGTAAAATACCGAGGGGCCTCGGCCAGTATTACACCACAGTTCTTTTAAATAAGTGCTTGTTCCAGCACTGTGCTCGCAGCCACCGCTTTGTTCCTCCCCGCACTGCTCCGCTTCAGACCCACCGTCCCTCAGGACAGTAACAGTGGTGCAGAAGAAGCAGTCGCACTGGCAGCTGCTTGCACGTCGCCCCGCGGTCCTCCGAGGCATGAGGAGGATCTGTGCCACTGCAGCAGGTCCCACGGTATTAACAAACACGTAAGAAGAGTCTGCCAAATTTACATTAATTGCCCCTTCCAACTTCCTTGGTAAGGGAGGTCAGCATGCTTGCCCCTCCTCTGCACATCACTGCAATGGACCCACCACTGCATTTAACTTCACCAGCAGGGTGCACAGAGGGAGTGGAGAGGGGACCCAGCGCTAGTCCGCCAGCCCGGGTCCATGCCTTCCCCTTCGCTTCCTCCTCGCTTCCTCCTTGCATGTCATGTCTTTTTAGCTTGTAAGCCTGTGAGCAGAGACTGTATTATTTTATTGATTGCCATGTAAGCTGCTCTGGGAGCCTTTTTGATAGAGCAGCAGGATACAAATGCTTTAAATCACTCAACCCCTGAAACTACTTGGGAAATTCATGGCTGAGAGTAAAACTGGAGACTTGGTCTCTTAGCCACCGTGACACGCTAGGACGAAGCATCAAGCTGAAATGCATCAGAAATTCATTTGGTCTCCTACTAGAAGATGGACCTCTCATCCAACAGCAGCTCATACACTGTTGCCCCAGATGTGATGGGGAGGACAGTTGGCCACTAGCAGAAGGCCTTTCCACTAAGCAAAATGGCCTACTGAGCAAATCATTCCAATTGATTCAGCCATCTTTAGAATTTAAAGTTAAAAGTGCAAAGTAAACCCACCCATTCCCTCTGAAATCTAACTTAAACATCACCCGTCACCAAAAAGCTCTTCTACCACCCACAGGGAGTAGAGTGGACCCAAAAATCACAGGACTTTATTTGGGGCTATTGTTAAATGTTCACCTGAACTCACCAAGGTCACAGGAATGTCCTTGACTTGTGGTTACCCTGACTGACTCCACTCTGCTCCTCTTTACACTCACCCATTTCTATGGTCAGGCACCTGAACTAGCTGGCAAGTATTGATTTATGAAATGATAAGCATGAGCTTGGCTGCAATTATTCACTAGCGAGAGGATGGCACTCTGCAAATGCTCAGCGGCACAACAGAATCCAAGGACCAAATTCTGCCTTAAATCAGAATACTGCCTAAAGAGAAAAGGTTAAATCTAACATTCCTAGAGGTTAGGTAGAAGGCAGTGCAGTATTAATGGGCCTGGTGCTAAAATTGTATCTTATTTTATATGCTCTAGCTTTTTTCCTGTATCAAGTTCACATGCCCACTTCTGGGCAGTATTACAGATCTGCTGTAGCAATACATCCCATCCTCCTGTGCTGTAGTGTCTTGCTGTTGGGAAGCATGACAGCTCCAGTATATGGGTGGGAACAAGCACGGGTTCATTCCCAGTTCACTGACACCCAGAAGGATGGGCACTGCTAAGATGGGAAAGACCTTTGCAACTGGTCGTAGCATTAACCCCCAGAAACCTGCTAGAGGAAGTGCCTTCCCCAGCACAGCAAGTGCATGTTCTTTTGACATTTTGTGGTTTACATTCTAAGATAAAAATATCTTTTATTTTTATCTTGGAAAAATAACAGCAGTGAACGGCTAGCAGGATGCATGTCTGATTGGTGCACTGTATCTAGACCATTCTGTATCTACCTCAAGCTCTGCGGCATTGCAGTTGGCTGTGCTGCTTAAAGTTGGGACCTTCTTTACATCCTTATGCCACTTTACCATCCCTTAGCAACTTCCTCTTAGAAAGCAAACTGGAATGAAAGGTATTTTCCCCACAGGATGTGATATGCCACAGTTCTTTGTATGGAAGTTAGGTTCAAGGACTGGAAAAACCAAGAGGGTGATAGAGAACACCACTTTTTGACCATCTTGACTATTTCAGCCCTTCTGTTCTTCAGCTTTTCAACAGCTTCCATGTCACCTTTCTAAGAGGCCAGCCACCAAAAGGTAAGAAATTCCTGTACTTCAGGCGGAATTATTTCCTTTTTTTTTTTTACAATACAGACCATTATGGAAGAAAGGATGTCACCATCTTATCTCCCCCACCCTCCTTTGTGATCATTAAAATATAGCATAAATGAAAAAACAGCATAACCACATAGGGCCAGAGAGGAATAAACAGAATAGAAATATTGATATGACCAAGTATTGGAGTAAGAGCTATGCTTCTTCACAAGTTATGTTTTATTGAGAGGAGGCAGAGGAGTTTATTTGAAGAGATCAAGCACTTTTAGTTAAGGAGATGGAAGTTTTTTCCTCCAGTTTTTTAAATCATACCCTGCCAAGCAAATGTATAGTTTCTGTAGCAGTTGCCCTAACATTTGAGTATTTCTCCCTCCAACTTCTTGGACAAGAAGCTTGCTGCATCATGATGTAAAAAGTGTGTTGGGGGAGTGAGGGAAGAGATTAAATAGATATCATCAGAAGCCATTACTGTGTCACACAGCAAACTGTGTGTGGTGGGTGGAACAAAGAGGAAAAACTTTTAATACCTCATTTTCAGTTCTATATTTCACCCCACTAGGAAGAAGAATTAACAAGTCAGACAAGGAATTTGCAAGTTATTGTATTTCAGCCTCTAGGATTTCTGCTCTACTGAGATCAACATCAAGTGCCCTTCCAAACAGGGGTAGTGTGTGTGGAGAGTACTTCCTTTCTGAAGCATGTCATGGATTTTATCAACCTGTCTGGTTGTGAGCTGTGTCAAGGCAATAAAATACTGCAGGAAATTTCATTCCCCCAGACACGCATCAAGCATGTGAGAGAGCTACAGACCACGTTCCATTTTCCTTTCTGCATTCTTAGCATGCCCCTCTTAGCTAGACTTCCATGGGGGGGGGGGGGCTCAAGTGCTAATGAGCTGGGAGGGTGCCTAGCCACTCATCCCAGCTGCACAGTGCTCCACCAGGGGAACCCAGATGTGGGCCTGGCATTCATGACCAGCAGGTGGGCCCTCTGGCTCAGTGTAACAAAGGAACGTCCAACCCCAGGCGAAGCATTTTCCATATACCTACAGGAGAACAAAAGACAGCTGGGCCTTTGCAAAAAGCACTACCAGTTATGGATGCGGGGTGGAAGGGAGCAAATACAGCCAAAACAAAACTCAGATGGCCTGCCAAAACCTACAAATGTGGGCGGAAGCATTCCACTGACAAGCCCTTGCTGGAAGCCACTCTTTCTCTGCAAAGGAGGATCAAGATACAGCAGCAGGCGCAAATTGCAGCATTTAGAGCTCTATCGGTATTCCCAAGCATCAGCTTCATCTCCGCCAGCCTCTCCATAGTCCAGGCTTGATTGTTCATTCCAGTCACTAGTCAGAGCACAAGCACCAGGCTCTGGAGAGCCCACAAGCAATGTGCATTTCCAGGAAGAGGCCAAAGGTCCCTCTCCAGTGCCAGGTGCATCCCAGGTGGCCCCTTTCCCTGCTTGCTTTCACTGGTCCTTGGCAAGGTCAGCTGATGCTATAGAGCCACCCCGCAACTGCCCTGCTGGATGGGGCTCCTCTTCCTCGGAATCGGGGCTCTCCAACTGGCTGTCTTCCATGCTGACATCACTCCAGAGAGGGAGGGGCTCGATAAGGCTTTGGGCAAGATGGCTCCCTCTGTCAAAGCCTGATGCACTAGAAAAAAGCAGAGCTCAGTTTCAAGATGGGAAAAGAGACAGAATGCTTTCTTCCTCAGCTCATTTGCAGAACTCTGTTGCCCAGAGCTCCTTCGTCTAGAAGCATGGCAGTCAGCACAACCTTCTGTCTGTCATGCTCCTTCCGAGTCCAGTTCTCAAGCCCAGAACCAAAAGCTGACCTGCCCAGGGTGCAAATCCAGCTCTAAAGAGTTCGCCACAGGGTCATCCCCCTTTCCTCACATCACCAGTCAATTGCTGCACCCCTGCCCCTGCCCCTGCCCCTCTGGCATTTGGTGGGTTGCTTTCTTCCCTGCTCTAAAAGGTTGAATGGTTCTAACACTTGGTTACTGGCAGTAAGAGCTTGAACCTAAAATATTCTGGTGTTTTTGGTATTTAGTTCCCTCCTTATTGCCTTGACTCTTGCCCACCACAAAAATGTGGCCTGCAAAAGCTGTTTCAAAAGTGAATGCAGCCCTTTGGCCAACAGACTATGGTCAGGCTTGCTCTCTCCAAATACTAGCAATCTTAAAGAGACAAGGCACCACGCAATCACAAGATGCACCCCAGAATCACTGCCAGGGTTCTTCTCTTGGAAAGTGTGGCAAAGCTGCTTTAACCAATTCCTAAGCACAGTTGTGGATTTGAGAGGAGGGAGGTGGGGGTCAGGGGATGGGCAGGGGAGGAACCAGCATATCTAGTAGAGAAAACTGCACTCAATCCTAAACACATGCTGTAATTCTGGCCCCACTTAAAGAAAACAGTACAAAAAAGACAAACAGTACAGAGTGTGTTTCACAGGTTCAGCGTAACAGCATCCTTAAGGGAAAAAACCTTTCAGAACAAGGATTTTAAATTCCCTCCCTACTGAAAATCCTACATTCGGGACATTATTTTCTTTAGTTATAGGGAATGGATGCAACTAAACATATAGCAGGATGACTAATGAAAGCAAGATCATGCCTTTCTGTTTCCTGAATGGTGGTGTCCAAGCCATGCCCACTCACTTAATGAAGACGCGGTCCTACTAGGGACCAGGTGCTAATCTCTGCTCTCTACCCTCCCTTGGGGAGACAGAAGGGACAAAGCTGCACTTGCATGCGGCTGGTTCCCCAGCCAAATATAGATCTTCCTCCATCACTTTCAGTCTGGTTGAGAAGGAAGGCTAGAACATTTACATGCCAGTTTTGCTTCCCAGCTGTCGGCATGTACAGAAAAAGCCCTCAGACATCCATTCCACTTTACCTGCTGCTGAAACCCCCTCTGGCTAGCAGAGCCACGTGGCCACCCTCCTCCTGCACCCAGCCGCAGTTAGACATGGCATAGCGCAGAATGGCATCTGTGACACTCAGAGGCCCCCGGCCCTGGACACACGCCTCTATCTCTGGCACGGAGAGCTGGCTCTGGAGGAAGAGGTGGAGCTGGCTGTCCGAGAGGAATACGACGTTCTGCAACACCCTGGGGGAGACAGCAAGCACACCCTGGTGAGATCTCTGGCAACAGCCCGACTGTGGAACCCCCTGTTATATTTATTTGGTTTCCCACCTTTCCACCAAAATAATGGTGCTCAAACCAGTTAACAGTAATAAAAACAAAATTAAAATAAGACAGTTCAAACAAACATAAAAGCAAATGGATAAACCCACCATTAAAAAGAGCAATAATAAAAGAAAAGCCCTCCCTACCTTGCAAAGCTAATCTACTCCCTCTCTGATGACCTCCTCTTGCTTTATGGGGGCTGCAGGGCAGGAATCTGTGGGAGAAAGAAGGGGCTTGGGGCTAGTCTGGCTGCTCTCCTGGCTTTGAAGAAACCAAAGATGAGGCTGGGTAGGGCCATGGTGTCCCTCTCCTGGAGTGAGGCTCAGCCCTGGGAAAAAGAAGATGCTACCCAGCACAGCTGCATGTCTGAATTTAAGTCTCTGCACGTGAGGGCCAGGAGGGCAAACATAGTGGTGGGTCTTGCGCCAAGGGAAGGCCTTCCACAATGAAGCACAGTAAGGCTCGGATACTCGTCCAAGGGGAACAGCCATGGCCCCCACATGGTCTCTCTCTCAGGGCCAGACTAAGTCGTATTTTTAATTCTCCCAGGCTTTTAAAATATTTGAAGGGCAGTATCCAACTATGCCATTCCACAAATGCCGTAGCACTAGTGGAAAACAGGGTCCAGACGAAGGATAACCCAAATTATGGCTGCAAGTGTAACACACAAACAACTGCTCAGAGGAAAGATTCAGCGGAGCTCATCTAGTGCTGTCTGAGTTGGTGGGATGCCGCCATTCCAGCCTGCCATGAGCATTCGCACGCTCTTACTTTAGTCCCTGCAATGCGGTTTTAGCCTTTACCTCGGATTACCATCTAGTTGTGTTGCCATGCTTATTAGTCGTATGGATTTGGGGGAGATTTTTTTTTTTTTTTTGCATTTTTGCAGGATTATTTTGTTTTGGGGAATGCCTAGAGAAATTTATCAGTAAAGTAGCTGAGGCACAATCCAGTGAGGCTGTCTGAGCTCAGAGAATTACGGACATTTTATGCAGGGCAAGAGGAAGCCACCTCCTTATTCCTCCCACTCTACAAAGTGGCTAAATGGCTGACCGCCAGTGTCGAAGTACACGCTTCAGAGCAGGAGGGAAGGAGTGTGAGGTGCCCCAGGCGGTGACCTCCACTGCTCCCTGTGGAATGCCCCCACTGAGCTTCTCGGATGTCAGTGCTTCGGACTCCAGAGAAACAGCCACCATGCTTTTTCCCACGCTGGCTGTGAGCGGTGCCAGAGACCTGAGTGCCGATCCCCAGCCCTGAGGTTGGAGAGATTTCCAGCCTCCTAGCTGGGAATCGACACACCTCATGACTATCCAGCAGCCATGGGACTGCTGTGTTAAAACAGAAATAAGCCTGGCCCCTCTTCCATTTTAAAAGAAATATATTTTACAGGGCTTTCCAAAATGGGATAAACCCAATCTATAGCCTATGCTTCCAGACAGATTTGTTGGTCACTTTTTTCACCCTAAAGAGAAGTGCAACTGAAGCAAAATTCGTTTATATTTTCACTCACGGAGAGGTGACTAGCGGTCCTGGCCAGCATGGGCAATGCTGAGGAATGAGGGGAGTTATAGGTGGAAATATATGGAGGACCAGACATTGCCCTCCCCTCTCCTATGCTGAAGAGTGGGATGGGGGAGAGAAATATATTAATGGGAATGCAAGAGACTGAAGGGAATCTTCCTGTGATCTCTGAAAGATATGCCACAGCCCCACCCTCTTGCCTCGATCTGGTGGCAATACCAACCTGGACGGACCCAAAAGACTTGAACATTTCTCTGCACAAACCTGTGCAGAGTCATACCTCTGCCTTCCACCACCTTTGCCCTGCATTTTTCACTCACTTCTCCAGGAACTGTTGAAGTCCTTGTCTGCGTTTCTCGATGAATTCGTCAGTGCTGCCTGCAAAGAAAGTGGACTTCCCTGGAAGCTCTGGGACAGGCCTGGAGGGGGGATGGATGGTGAGAATAAAGGAAGAGTCCCTCAGGTTGAATGCATATGAACAGGGGAAAAGAGCTGCCTCTAGCATTTGGAGTTACTCCGCATCAGCTGGTGTGTACTATTAAGAAGGAAATTCAGAGGAATTGCAGTGATTTCCTAACAGGAATGTAAGAGCTTCCAGTGCAACTAGCACATGGCTTCTTCCATTCTGACAACAGTAGCCACATGGGTCACTGAAATACTAGTTTTCCAGCAGCTGGACTGTTTTATCATGGCAGTTCTCCTTACCAGAGTTCAGCATCTGTGTAAACTGAAGCTGACACATTAGGAGCATCCTCAAGTGCTAAGTCAGAAAGCTGTATTTACAGAAAAGTTTAAGATCTTAAATCAGCCTTTCCCAACCCAGTACTTCCAAGTGTTTGGAAGTCCAGGTACCAACATTCCTGAGCACTGATCATGATACTCTGAGTCTGATGGGAATTGTACCTCAAAACATATTAAAGGGCACCAAATTACCCTGATGATCCACTTCACAAAAGAATCATTTTGAGCCAACCAAGTTCTAATAAAACAAATTAGGTTGCTATATAGCGAGTCAAATTATCGGTCTGCCTAGCACAATGTCCTCTTCCAGCCCTGCCATGCCTTTCAGCAGGCAAAGCCAAGGACTGCTTCAAGGACCTTCATGCGAGGAGTTTGCCTTGCCAATGGGCTGTGGCCACTTACAGCACTTCACATAGCTACATGCAGTGACACGCACAACACCCCTTTCTCTTCCCTTCCCAACTGTCCTTCCATGCTTAACGGCAGCTTCTGGATACCCGATGCATTAGAACAGGACCACAGCTCTGATGGAAAAGTTAGTACTCAGAGCATGTACAGGCCTGCATTTTAAACTCTCTGAAAATGTTTTGCTTCTGATTCCCTGCCACTCTCTGGGTCACAACTTAGGAGGACCTGGGTGGTAGGACCCCAGACCTGAGCCCCACAGTCCAGACCCAACTGCACCCCTGGCTATATGCTAGGATTTAAGCACATGGTAAATGCTCCCAGCCAACATATTCATTCGTCTCACCTAGACTTGCATGCGGTGCAGAAAGTCACACAGTGGCAAAGGCTCTTGCTACCACTGTGACATTTTTAGGGTTAGCAGATCCAGCCTAAGGGAACATAGGCTGCTCTAAGGTGACAGGGATTTCAAACTTACACTAAGCCAGCATTTTTTTGGAGCTGTTTCTTCAGCCACACAAACTCACGGTACCGTCTGCGCACGCAGGATGTCTTGGCGGTGAAGGCTTTGCTGTTACTCTGCATGATGAAAAGAGTGTTGCTGTGGGATTTTTTCCCCTCCACCTCTATTTCTTTACCTTAGTCTGTCTTTCCATTTCTCTCAGTCTTTCCAATCTGTCTCCCTCTGCTGGCCACTGCATTAAGGCAGGACCAATATTATGAACCCTTTGCTCCAAAAGAGGTAGTTTTATTAGCATTATGGCACTCAGAGCCAACGTTTTGGTTAACTAACAAATATGCTTGGCTGAGCAAAGACCATGCTTGGCATGTTTGGGTTTTTGCTTCTATTTCCATGTTTAAAAAGATGACTGTGTCATCTTCAATACTTTTTAAAACTATAGCAATGGGTGGTTAGTCTTACTTTTCCTTCAGGGATTCAAAGAAGCACCAATATGAAAGATTTGGCAATATGCGAATTAAGAGGCAGGCAATTAAATGACCAAGGATTCTGCAGTGGGGTGTGAGCCCCAATAAGAGCAGACTTGGGAACCAAGCCAAAGATCCAACTAGCCCAGCCCTCAGCTCCAGCAATGGCCAGGCAGAGAGAGGCTCTAGGAAGCAGCCACATTTAAGATGCTGCTGCCAGCACCTCTTATTTAGCAGCTTGAGCTGGTGGTCCAGCCTTTGGACCTGCAGGTAGGATGCTTACCTGTTTGGCTCTTAGCCATCTCCGAGGTCATCTATTCCCAGCATGGCAGAGTCCTAGACTGGGGAACCGGAGCCCCTACTTTTTAGCCCACCAATTAGCAAGATCCAGTTCCCTGGCAGCTGACTGGGCCATGCCAGCACTGGCGCTGCTCAGTGGCTGTGCATCAACCTTTCTCTCGAGCAAACACTCAGGGTGCTGAAGAAGTGGCGGGAGGGCACAGACAACTCTCCACCAGGAGAGTGAGCAGCCTGGAAATCAAGTTTTACGAGGAACAGTAGAGAGAGCTGGGTATGTTCAGTCCCCACTTTTCGACACTTACATGGAGAAATATTTTGTAGTCCACATAAGAGTTCCAGGAGCCCTCATTCTGTACACGAGGATCTTGGACACGCACAGTGGTCAGCTCCTGGGTGTGGGAGCAGAGGAGAAAAGGACACAGAAGCAGAAAAACAGAGTGAGTCAGAAGGGGCCTCCCAGGCCATTTAGTCTGACCCCCGGCTCTAGCCAACTCCGCTCAAGACTTGCCTACCTCTAGCCTGTCCTTGAACACCCTCACCCATGAGGCTTCAGCCACCTCCTGTGGAAGCCCATTCCATACCCTTGGGGTCCTGTCAGGAAGTACTTCCTGGCATCCAAACTGAACCTTGGTTCCTTGAACTTGGCTCCGTTGGCGTGTATCCTGCCTTCCTCTGCAGGGGAGAACAGGTCTCTACCCATCCCTGTGTGACAAGTCATGTACCTGTATGTTGCCAACAGATTCTCTTGGAGTCTGCTCTTCTGCAGGCTGAAGAGACCCAGTTCCCTCAGTCTCGCCTCATACGCTTTCCCTGCAATCAAGCCACCATCCTTGTGGCCCTATGCTGCACTGTCTCTAACCTGTACAAGACCTTGCTTGAGAGAAGTCCCCTATTCCAGTACCACCCTTGGTCTTCCCACAAGGTGGGATAATTATGGCATGCTGCCCACCCACCCACCCTGCATCCCCTGCTCTTCAGTATGGAGAATAAGCCAAACTGGTTCAGGATGTAGAAAAATCCTGGGCCCAAAGCCAGCTTCCTGTTTCAGCCAGATTTATCCAGAAAGCCCACAGGCTTCTGTTTCTTGCTCCTAGTATCTGAGGCTCAGAGGTTTATTTCCTCTGAATATGGAAGCAATATGCCATTGAGTACTCGATGCTGGGAGCAAACAGAAGGAGGCGAATAGCTGTCAGGAGCAGACCAATCCTCCCAGTCTCTTTCTAACACAGGAGTAGCAAACCTGTGGTCCTCTGAGCTCTGTTGGATTCCGGCTGCAGGCAGCACACCTTTTGGCCAAAAATGACTGGTGCTGCGATCCAGGGACACCTGCTTCCCACCCTTGGTCTAACCCCTGCTTGAAGCCATCTAGTCTAGGAGTCATTAACTACAAGTTAATCATTCATTACAAGAAGAGCCTGCCTTGAATCCATTCTGAACCCAAATTCTGCTGTTAAGAAAAATAAAGATTCAAAGGTATATTCACCTGTGAGAGAGAGAGGGTAGGGCAAGTGTGGCAGAATTTGAATCCACGGCCTAACAGACCAAAAAGGAAGAATGCAGGGTCTGACTCACCGAGCCATACCGCCTGGGGAAATAACAAGATGGTACCGTCCCATGTTTACTCTCCATGGGGAAGAGTTGCACCCAGCATCACTGAGACTGTACCATTCCAGAAGATGGTTCCTCTTGGGCCTGTTATACTGGAGGCAGGCAAAGCCAATGAATAAGTTTGCTGAGTGCACTGACACACACACACTGAACGGCATGCCTTGCCCAGGCTAGTCATGGGCCGGGCAAGCCTGAGGTTATTCCTGAACACTCTGTCTGCACAAGTGCAGGGCATAAATCCAGCCTTCTGCCACCCTCGTGGTTCTAGACCTGGGTGTGCATGGAGAGACAGAAGCAACAGAGCCGGGGGGGGGGGGCCTGAATCCTTTGGGGATCTGACTCAGGCAAGCTCCCCACAACGCTCTGTGTGGGACTTTGAACATGCATGAAACCAGGAAACAATGTCTAGAAGCAAAGTGTCGTATGTTGGGAGCATGGCTGCCCGTGCCAACGCCGCTTAGGTCTCCATCTGCAATGCATGCAGTAAAGATTTGCTAAGTATTCACCCTTTCCCCAAACTCAGATCAAACTCCAGACTTCAAGCTGTTTCTCTTCTCAGATGTTGACTGTTTGTATTTTATTATTTTGTAGCACAGGACAATGGAGCATTAGGTCACATAAGTAATGCTTGCTAAAGCCTGAGGTCTTACCTCTTGTTCTTGCTGTTCTAACATCCTATATCCACAGTCCAGAGGGAAGCATCTGTGCAAGGCAAGAAAAGGATAAAAATGATCACCCACATGCATATTCATACTATAAACCAATAGTACTTCATCCATCAGATTATTAAGCAGAATTGTGGCCTATTCCAATACACATTAGGGCAGGAAACGGAGTAGATGGTACAGAAATCAGTTTTCTGCAGTGTCCACCTTTAGAAAGAAGGCTTTTAGCTCTTGTAGCTATATCTCAGGCAGGCAGAAGTAAAGGGGAACTTGCGTGCAGTCATACCAGAGGACTAACTGCACCACTTCCATCCATGCAAAAACAGGAACGGGACTGTCACCCTGGCCCAACCAGATACTAATGCCCGATTGACAGAGCCAGAAGAAAGTGGTGAGTTGTAGAGGAAGGAGATTGGTTTCTGTTTTCCCTCCACTTCCATGCTTTTCTGTGTCCTGTCTTTCTAGTTTGTAAGTCTTTCTAGTTTGAGACTGCATCTGGTTGGTTGGTTTTTTTAACTGATGTGAGCTGATGAAAATTATAATTTAAAAAATAATTAAAAAGAATAGATGAGCTTGAAGCATGTGGGCAATGCCTAGGGGTTTCAGGCAGAGTTGGAAAGATGGAGCTTCTGTGTCCTGCATCAGGACTTATGTTAGTTGCGAAGTCATGCCTGACCCACCACAACCCCATGGACAACATTCCTCCAGGCAATCCTGTCCTCCACCATCCCCTCGAGTCTACCTAAGCTCACACCGACTGGCCAAAACAAATCTCCCAGAAGTCCCTGCCACTGCATCCACCAGTCAGGAATGCTGGGAGTAGAAGTCCAAGACATCTGGAGATTTACCCATACTACAAGCTGCTCTTCTCACTGTCATTAGCAGAAACAGTACTAAACAAGAAGTTTGGTTTTAATTTGCATTACTTATCTCATTTTCCGAATTCATTCCTTCACCATCTAGGGGTTTTTTCCCCCTAGCACAAGACAGTTCCCCCTCTAGCAGGCAGGACACTTGTCTAGAGGTTGATCCCCCAATTTCCCAAGATCTTGCTCCCTGTACAAAGCAAACACACCCGTGAGAGAGTACTGTCTGCTTTCATTTCCATGCTTCAGCTTGGCACCTGCAAGGGAAATGTGTTCTGGAGAGGGTTTTCAAAGGAAACATGCATTGTAAGCAGATTCTGGCTATACACCTTGTCTCCCTCTGTCTCACACCCTATGACCATCAGGATCAATGGGGCTTACCCCACACCCAGACAAGGAAGTGCAGGAGAGCAGCCCTAAAAGGTCAGTGTGCCCACACCCAATGTAAGGAAGACCTGCAGATGCCATTCAAATATGGCCCAGGAGAAAGTCAGATGTTTTGGGGGGATTCCTAGATCAAGCCTTGTTTCAACCACTAACTCATTAGATGGCTTTTGATCAGACGCAATCTCAAGGCCACCTCTTTTGCTAGGTTAGTGTGCCCTGGCCCTGTTTTATTTCCATGATTCTTGGGTCAGCTCTCCCAAAAAACACTCCAGATGTGTTGAATCCAGTGTGGCACACCAGTTAGAAAGAGGGACTTGAGCACGGGAGATCTGGGTCTAGCCTCCACTTGCCCATGAGGCCTAAGGGTGGGCTTTGGGTGAGCCACCAACTCTCAGCTGAACCTGTGCCACCGGCTTGTTGGGGGGATAAAATGGAAGAAGAGAAGGACTACAGAAGTTTCCATGAGTTCCTTGCAGGAAAGAGCGGGGATATCAACAGAATAAAATATTACTCCCAACATCCCCTTTCTAGAGGGCACCAAGTTAGACAAGCCTAACTTGGGTCGTAGACTCCACACACACACGGGCAACTTTCACCCTCGGCTCCCCCACTGGAAGCAAGTAACATTTTTCTCAGGATTGTAGAAAGAGCAACAGCCACACAGAATTGTAAGCACAGAGTCCAAGTCATACACACCCAGCACCCCGGTCCCAGGAAAGTAACTTCAGCAGTACCGCAGCAGCAACATCTGGAATGGCTCCCTTCCCAGGATGCCGGATGCCAACGACTAGATTTCATGGGGATCTTGAACTGGAACTTCGAGGGGGGTTGCCTCACATCCAAATAAGGTTCCAGGTGCGAGGGCAGCCACACAGAGCCCCAAGCACGTAAGGGCAATGGGGACGCCCTGGGCAAGATGGCCCCAGTGGGCCTCCCATCCACGGAGTGCGCCCACTTCCACCCCGCAGCTGTCAGCACTGCCTTTTGCTTGCCCTCCTGGGCCCCCGCTCCGCACAGCCTCCCAGCCAGAGAGGGCAAGGCAGGCGAAGGCTCCTATTCCTGCCCTTTGTTTCTCTCACTGCTCGCAGGCTCGTCAGCAGGCGGGCACAGCAAAGAGAAGAGACAGTAGCAGAGGCTCCAGGTTTCACAGCAGAAAGTGCTCACTGTTGTCACATTGCATCATGTGTGTATCCCACGTTCCTCCCCCTTGCAGAGACCTCGCTGTGAGGTAGGGTAGGCTGAGGCACAGAGCCTGGCCCAAAGTCGCCCAGTGAGCTTCTTGGCTAGGTGGGAACTAGAACCCAGACCCTCTCAGTCCCAAACCAGCTACTCCACACTGGCCAGCTACTGATGCTGGTCATTAAGGCTGCTGCATGCGGCTTCAAGACCATGCCTTTGGGAAGTCTATAGCAACTGAGGGAAGTGCTGTGGCTGGGGAATTTTCGACTTTGACCCAAATCCTCATATGGGAGTCTTTTAGAAAGCCAAGTGAATTACTTCAGTCACAAAATACAAATCATTTTGCTCCCCTCCTAATCACCACCCCTTGCTTGCCAATGATTCTGCCTTCCTGTCATGTCAGAACATGGGTTGCCAGCACTGATTAAAAACAAAATACTCTGATTTGAATCATAGTGGCCATCATGACTGCAGAAATAAGAGAGGTGATTTCTGTGGGGTTTTTTTAACCACTGTTCTGTAGGTGGTCATTCACAGACCTGATGAGGTGCAGGGCTGGGGTGGGGGGGCACATTTTAAGTTTCTTACAGGATGGTTTACACAGAATCCAGTCACGATCACTGGCAGATTTGGAGGAGCCTAAATCCAAGGCCAGATCGTGTACAAGGTAGAACCAGAAGTACTTCCATGCAAGGCTTTTATCATACAATCACACTGCTTTATTCACAGAATTGTACAGAGGATGTGTTTCCAGAAATGAGCAATATGGCCCTCCATGTTTTCCCCTCACTTACACTGTCTTTTTCTCTTACCAGGAGAAATGCTGTTAAACTAGACAGGAGAGCTGCATAATACCTCCTGATTGATATCAAAAGGAGCCCTCCATCTAGCAGCAGCCTTGCTAAATTTTAAAGAAAAACTCCTGAAGGCCACTGAATGACTAACTTACAGTGAACTTATGCTTCCAAGCCCCTTGAGTGGAAGCTGGCCAGCAGAGCTGATGTGAGGGCTATGACTGGTGCAGGGGAAAAACAACTTCTGGAGGGCAAGGGAGTGATGACCCCATTTAAGCAAACTAATTAGACTAATCTGCCCTTTGGTTGTTCTGGTAGCAGTCCCATTGACTTGCAAAGCCCTTGACAATCCCCAGCCCATCTCACAACAGTCCGGTTAAGTGGGACAGCACTGGGCCCATTTTATTTTCAAAGATTCTGCAAAGAAAAGGTAATTAAAGGCACATTGTGATGGATGTGAATGCAGCTCCAGGCTACGGAATCATCTAAATTGCTTCTTTTACCCCACTCAGCTGGGCAGAGTTCTGTTCCCACAAGGCTCAGAAATGGAGCAGAGGCCAAGACAGTGTGACTACTAAGTTGCCATACCCAACCCTAAATCATGGAAAGCTCAATTTCCAGCCAGCATGGCCAAGGGCCAGCAGAGTTGTGGTCTGACACTGCAGGAGAGCACCAGGCTAAGCCAGGAGAACCCAAGCTCGCTGAGGATTTAATTCCACTCCCGGCCCACCACGATCCAGCCCTGGTAGCTGGGAAGTTAACACATGTGACTGAGAACACGAAGGCAGCTCATGCTTCCTCCATCTAACCACAACCAGTTTCCAGACAGAGTAGGGGACAGGACTCCAGTGTCACAAGCCATGAATTCCAAACAGGCTTGAATGCCAACAGCAATCTTGAGAAGTTAATCTTGGATAAATGTTCAAGCATTTTGTCTCGCAGAACTTGCTTAATCATTATGTCAAGTAGGGAAGACAGATGCCATGTATTTTGTAATTCAGATCACTCTTCTGGGGGAGGGAGGAAGAGACACATAAAATATGAGCGGAGTTTACTCTGTTCCTTTTAGTATTGTTCCTCAAAGAACATGGGGCTCAAGTTCAAAGTGAAGTGCCTTCCCTTCTGTGTTACTGCACTAGCTTACTCAGCAAGAGGCTTGTGAGGCTACTATACAGAAGAGCAAGCTCCATCTCTGCCAGGACAGCAGTGAAACACAGGAAGTATATCCCATACAAAGAAGGGAAGGCTCTTTCTTCAGGCCAAAGTACGCAGAAAACACTGGCTTTAGAAAGCCTCCCAAAATACTAAAACTGTGCAGGAGCAGAAAGAGCAGCCACAAGAGGCCCCATCCCTCTGGCAGTTTAAACCACCCAGCAAGCAAGCGGCCCAGCTGTGGCAGTCTCTGTTCCTCAGTGACCCAGAGGCCTTCCACATTGACACTTGAGCACCCTATCCTCCAACCCCCTTTTCTCTCCTTTTGTCAGAGATAAGCAAGCCAACTGAAGAGCAGCTGCAGGGTGAGAGGCAGGAGGCTTGGTTAGGCTGCCAGAAATGTGTGGGCTGCAGACCCCACCACTAACAGGCCAAAGAAGCTGGAGAGAGAAACTGAAGTTGGAGGCACGGTGTCCCAAACCAATCCCCATCCTTTGTCTTCCCTTCCAATACAGGGAAGGAATTAGCCCCTCTTCTTGTGCCAGGGGTTCAGGGATGGCTTCCCTACCCAAGAACACTCTCTCAAGAAATTGTTTGCTGGCTGGTTGATTTAACTCAGTTGAGTCCTTCCCCATCATTCCTCACCAGTCCTGGACTCACCACACAATAAACATCAACCTTCATCTTGCAGTTGCACAGCCAGAAAGTCTCTACAACTGACCTTTAGGCAACAACATGAACAGGCAAGATGTTTGTGCCTTAAGAACCCTGCCCAGCTCCCTGATTTTAAAAGCGCTGGTTTGGTCCAGAGTGTGTCCATGTGAAGAAGAGGGGGTCTGCTTATGGCCATCTCAATTCACAGGGCTGGAATGAGGAATGGGTAGCTCTTCAGATGTCTTTCCACTGCAAATCTCACCATCGTTAGCCAGCACAGCCAGGGGTCCAGTACAAGAACTACTGGGAAGCCACTGTGAGGGTACTTGGGTGCTTCCCATGGGCAGTTGGTTGACCACTGTGTGGGCGAAATGGACCTTGCTCTGATCCAACAGGACTCTTCTTGTGCTCCTAGGGTGGGGCACAATCTTACATTTGTCTGAGAGAAAGCAGGCAGGAGTTGGGAAGCATCTGTTTTGAGGGAAATAATCACTAGCGGTTGGAGGGGGAATAATTTTGTGATTGCCCAAAAATGCAAGGGAAGGAAATAAGCCACAAGTTTATGGCAAGACAACCAGTCGGAGAGGACAAAGTGCCAAAAGCATATACCGGAGGAAAGATGCTGTGCTTAGGTGTTTCTATGCAAACACTAGAAGCCAGACTAGGAGAGCTGGGGTGCCTGAATTTAAAGATAGAGTGGGCATTATGGCCATCAGGTGGAACAGGAAAATCCAATGGGATACAGTCACCTCTGGATTTAAACTGGATAGGAAAGGGTATACTGGAGGAGGTGATGGTCTAAATAAGGCACAGAGTTCAGCAGACGTGATGACCTAAGGTGTGCAGAATCCTCAACTGAAGCACTGTGGGTGACAATACCAGGCCTCAAAACTAGTTTAGTCACGGGAGTATGCTATGGTCCTCCAGGGGGATCTCAAAATGGAAAGCATAATAAGGTACTGCTGGAATATGTTATGTTATCAGAGGCGGAGCCTGTAGACACCAGCTCCGGAGCAGCTTGGACAGACAAAACTCTGGTATTCATCCTGCTTGAGGGATCCTGTGGCCGCAGGTTTGCCATTGTATGAAAAGAATCCTGGCCCAGATGCATTATCAGTCTGGACCAGCATGGTTTTTTCTCATGTTCTAACACAATAGAGGGTTCTAACAGAACAAAGCATAGAGAACACATCCATTCACAAGGATAATGGTATAGTGTGCCCATGTGGAATAGTGGTTATGAGCATGAGACTGGGACTCCGGTGATCTGGGTTCTAATCCCCACTAACCAAGAAGCCAACTGGGTGACTTTGGGCCAGTCACAGACTCAGCCCAACCTACCTCACATGGTTCTTGTTATGGGGATAAGATTGAGAGCAGTAGGAAGAGAATGATGTAAGTTGTTTGAATGCTTTGAGAGAGAGAAAAGGTGGGATATAAATCTAATAAATAATTGCCACTAATACTGCTCAGAAAATATATAATTTTTCCTGAGCAGTAAATCCAAGGTATTCATCTGCAAGCTTACAGCCTCAAATCTGTCCATCTACTTTCTGATCAATATTCATTTCACAGTTCAGTCTGCTTTCTCTGCAATTCCTCTGTGGAACAGCTGCTTCAAAAACCCTTCCCTTGGCTGTGGCTTAGTTCCAAGTCCCATTTCCAATGTTAAGGAAATAAAGAAACATCTGAGCATGTGCAGAGTTCTTTCTAATCACTGAAGATGGACACTCAACTACTCCCCTTTCCTCTCAGTTCCTATTAGGGAATACAGAAGATCTGAAAAACTAGATCCACAGCACTTCCCTGTTCAAAAGTTACAACACTGCTCCTGGCTCATACACATTCAAGCTTAGGAACCAGACATTTCTGCATAATCCGCACTTTACCATAAAAGAGGCGGTGAGGGCACAAGTTATGAGAAACGCTTGATTCAAATTCCAGTTTCACTAGATGCTAAATGGGTGCTCCTGGAGCAATATCAGAGCATTAGGAGATACACCCACCAATTTACAGTGCTGGCTAATTTTGTTGCTAACCCTCAAAACAACCCCGAGTACCCAGTGAGCTCAGTACAATTTATCACAGATAAATTAGGCAGATTTCAGGCTAATGGGATCTACATTGTGTTTCATTGGAACCCCAAAATCCACCAACCAAACACAGGTGCAGAAGAATATTTAGAATTAAACAACAGGGTATCTCTAAACACACCCTAAATCCAAGGGTATTTACAGTACCAAAACTGACCTGAGCTCACGCTCCTTTGACTCAAAAGTTCACTTCCGATTATCCCAAGTTTTCTTCATTGCAGCAGCCTAATTTGGGTGGAAAATATCATGTTAACATTACTGCTAAACATTTGGAGTCAGCACCCCTTTCTGATCTATAGCAAACAATCCAGAAAGAGAGTCTTTTTGGCTAATGGGGCAGAATAGAAATCTAATAAATAAACCCACACAGCAGAAATTAGAGGGTCCTCTGGCACACCCACTTGCAGGCTCATAAACCTCAGCTTTTGCTTGCTTTCCCCTACAGGAAGCCAACATTCTCAGTTCACTCGCCTGTCAGTAGCAAATCCTCAGGAGCTGGGTGTAAGTACTGATGAGGCATGGCTCTCTTTGTAACACCCCACCGCAAGCCCACCTCTCCCACAAGCAAAGTGCAAGAAGCACCCCTTTTCTCTACGCTACAAGACAGGCCTTTACATCGCCCAACCTGTCAGCAGCAGTCGAAGACGCACACGCAGGATGGGGGAAAGGCGGTGGGTAAGTGAAACGAGACAGAGCAGGCCGAGTGTGCATCTATTTGCACACTGCATGCACTTGCATATCACCAGCTTGGGGGGGGGGGGAGATGACGAAATGCCCGCAGGTCTGCTAGAGCGAAGCGGGAGGCGAAGGAGCGTCGGAAAATAACTCCAGGTTCCCGAAGTTTACAAGTGAGGCCTTCCGACACAGCCTCCAACCCGCGCAGCAGAGCCCTGGCGGGGCAATTCTCTCCACGATGCACGGCAGAGGGAAATGGTACCTCGCCGCTTCTAACGGGAAACGAAAGAGCTCACAGCTGCGCCTGCTGCACGTGAAGCGGCGACTCTGCAGCGGAGAGGGTCCGCCGGCCCCGCTCCACTGAGCCCCCCAGCATCCATTCACGACTGCGTGCATTCTTAACGCCCGTCCCTTGCGAGTCGGAAGCAGGGACAAGGAGCACCGGCAGCCAAGCCACCGCTGACCCCGTATTCCCTTGCAGCCAACCCCACACCGACCCACAACTCACTTGCTACCTTTTCTTCCTACCTTTAGAATGGCCTCCTCTCCACGCTATTTCTCTTTTCCAAGTATATTTTGAAGAGTGCAAATCCTTTACACTCACAATCCAAGTTACGTCCTCCTCTCTTGTTTGTTGTTTTCCAACACCCGCCCAAGGCGGTCTTCGTAGACGCGGCCCCTTTAAGAATGCCAGGACTGACCGTCATAGACAAGCGCGCTCTCGCTCTTTTTAAAGCTAATTGCCACGTGACTCCGCCTCCACTGCAAGGCTCAAGACGTGTGGGCCGATGGGAAGTGTAGTTTCTACCCCGAGCAAGAATTAATAACCTGCAGGGTCGAAATTTCATTGTATTCCGAATTCCTTAGTAATGAATTGGCTTCTGCACACGCCCTGGATTAACTCATCCTAAGCAAAAGCGCTGCTGGTTCTGTACTAAAATCTAAGCATGCGTACTTGAAAACAAGTCCTACTGAATTCATCGGGGCTCCCACGAGTAAGTTTCATTCAAGTATTTTGAGACTTAAACATGCTTAGATGGGCTATTGTTCTTTGTACTTACCTAGGAGTAAGTGTTATTGAACACAGTAGAACTTACGTCCGAGCGTAGGATGGGGCAGATATTGGGTGCTTTTATAAATAGGAATTGGACAAATAATCGGCCACCTGCAATAATACAATGGGTGGAGAATTTAATGAAGCATTCGATTTTTCAACGGGCAGTTTCTAGACATGATTTAGGAATGGGCAAATATATGGACATGTGGGCTGCCTTTGTTGAAACATATGCATAATCATCTTTAGCAATACTTGCTACATATAAAATGTAGAGGTATTTATAGAACGTGTGCATGTAGTGTTATAGATGATGCTAAATTTTATGTTAAGTTTTATGGAAGAAAACTAACATTTTAATCGATTTTGGTCATCTTCTCTTCCCCTTTACGGTTCTTTAGGCTTTGCTTTGAAACACCCAATAAAATTGGATTAAAAATAACTAAATCAGAATTGGCCATGAGAAAAATTTCAAAATCTTTATTGTGCAATACTTTTATTAGACCAAGCCCAAGATCACCAAACAATGGGCAAGCTTTTAAGATCTCAAGAATGCCTCTTCAGGCCAGATAGTACAAAAAGCTGGTGAGCAGGGTGGCGGGGAGACAGGCAGACAAACTGGAGTAGTCAAGATATCTGCATATCAGAACCTTAAAATGAAATGGAGGAGAAAATGTCCAGACATTCAGATTGGGCTCTGCCAAGTGATGAGATGCTTGCAGGTTCAAATGTTCTATACTTCTGTTTTCTACCAACCAAGGACAGAGATTTCAACACTTAGTGTTAACTTGAACAATGGGAAATTCAACCATTTAACAGTGGGAGCTCTACACCAGATGCTTTTGGAATGATAGAGACCTGGAGCTCTCAAATGCTTGCAGTTTTTGTGATCTTTGAAGCTGGCCTAATAAAGATGTTAAACCATACAGAATTTGGAATATATAAACACAGAAATTGTTCTCTTTAATCATACTCACATTGAAGACATCCTTTGTATTTTCTTTATTTTGGACCAGTTTGTAAAGGAAGAGAATGGAGAACCTTCGGGTCTCCAGTTACGGTTGAATTCCCAGTTTCCATTAGCCGCAGCTAGCAAGGCCAATGGTCAGGGATGCTAAGAGTTGTAGTCTACTGATAGAGCAACAAGTTCCTCACCTCTGTGTGAAAGTGTAAGCTCAGGACTGATCTAAAATTTGGGGGAGTGGGAAGCACTGTTTTGAATACTCCTTCATGTAAAACAGCGCTGCATGCATGAAAACATTGCATGAGAGAGAGAAAGCAAGACCAGGATTCCCCTTACTCTCCATGGATAAATAAACTTCATGTAAAGAAGCATTTAGACAACGGAATTCCCTGCAATGTACATCTGGGTTCCAAGGTGGAAAAATTCCAGGATGACCATATGAGGTGATGGTTATGTCCTGAAGCTATAGATTGTGCTAAGGCAATCTATATTGCTAAATATATAGCAAGAGAGGAAATACCCTCTACCAAAGCATGAGATGTCACCGAATTTATTCCAAAATTGCAAAAAGGCCCATCGTTATGAGGTGTGTAATATAAAGCACAGCTTGTATATACAGTAAGCAGAGCTGGGTGCTCCTCATGCACAGAGATACAGTGCATCTTTCCGTAGCTTCCCTGTCACTGAGGCATCCAGTGTCAAGGGAGAAAGAGAAGGTCGCCAGCCCCACGTTGCTGAGGTTCCTCTGGCAAGACACCATCCATGGGCCCCCCGGAGTGAATCTCCCTTCTCACCACCAGTGTTGCTACCACTTGGGTGGCTAAGGGGCTGAGAGACCATGCGCAAGCAGGCGGCAGCGGCAGCCTCCGGCTGTTCTGCATCACTGTTGCTGGGCCAGACTGAGAGACACGTGAAGAAGCAGACCGTGGGGCAGGGGGAGCAAGTTGTAGAGGCTCTTGTCAATAGACTCCTGCCGGAGAATGGCCCTTAGCTGGTGCCCAAACATGCCTCCTTCCCTTGGCACCAGCCCAGCCTCGCTGCAGCAGTGTCATTAAGTGGCGTGCTTTTCTCTTCCCCTTAGGAACGAATGGTAACCGTTCGTATGTGTTGCCCTGGCTGTGGGCAGTGGGTTGTTTTTTAAGATTTCCAGAGAGTGATACACTATTTCCAGGTTTACTAAGAAGAAGAGTATTTATTATTGCAATAATACCAAACAAGACTTCCATAATATTTGACACAAGCCTCTTAACTCCACATAGCGGGGACTTTCTGCAAGGTGGATCCCAAGCAGCAGGGTTCAGAAAGAAAAGAAAAGAAAAAAAAAACCAGAATCCCCCTCAAAAACACTCTGAACCAGAGCACAAGAAAGTGACTAGCTTTTATAGATTACAAACTTACAGTGTTGTGATGCATGTGTACAGCATTCTATGAAATTAAAAGATTTGTTTACACAGGTGCTAAGAAATGGTGAAGTGTATTTAGCTACCAAGGAGTATTCCTGTCTAGCATCAAAGCATAGGCTCATTACTGCCTCTTTCCTGCAGAAGTAATGCCTGATAAGGGACGTTCAAGGCTGCAGATGTGCAGCATGCATGGTCTTGTCCCATCTTAGTATCAGAGGGGAAACGCCTTAGCTTCATGAATGCAGACTATCAGGTTCAGGGGGACACTGACAAAAGCTCTAGTGTCCTGTTCTAAGCAGCTACACTTAGTACAAGCAAAGCAAACATTTTAAAGAGCTAGAGACCCAGGCCTGGCTTTTTGTGGTTCAGGCTTGTTACATCATATGCAGGAGAAAAGAAAAGATGCTCTTGGGAACACCTTAAAGATACAAAGCTAAAACCATTCCCTGACCTTTATGATCCCAACCGTTCAGAATTAAACCTTTTCCTGTTTGCATAATGCATTTTTTAGGGTGAAGAAACATGTATAGCATATTTTAGGTGAAATAGAAGTGCCTTGAATGTACAGTCACTGGCCTGGGGTGAGCAGGGCAGGGCATCTCTTGGTATATAGCACGTGTCTATTCTAAAGCATGTTGTTGTTCAGATTGTGAGAGTCGACTCACTCCTGTACTTTGTTCCTCAAGAGAATAAATTTATGACACAAATTCAAGCAGCACTAAGTTTATTACCACGATTGCAATGGCGGGTGTCCCACAGAGCGGGCTCACCCTGAACACTAAAAACATGCCTTATATTCCCTATCCCGTCCGCATAGTCCCTCCCCCTTTCACCTATTGGAATGTCACAATCAACTCCATACACCTCCTCGATATAGTCGCCTACCCACTCATGCAGCCCATGTTTATGGTAATACGTCCATTACCTGTGAGAGGTGTGTCAGTTATTATTCATCAGCCTGTTAAGCGTGCGCACTACTCACTATAAGTTCACTAGTTCATCTTGACCTTACTCAGTTTTGCCCTGTGACCCCCTGTCTCATAAACTACTGGGAAGATGAAATAGAAAGTAGCAAACTTCCTTTCAAACCAATTATCTTTTTCTCCCCTCCACCTTCTTGTTTTCTTTGAAAATATCCAGCTGCAAAAAGACAATTACCTGTTATTTTCTGCAAAAGCAACAGTTTAACCATTTCCTACAAGCCGTTCAGTCATGTCCAACTATAAACGATCCTATGGGTCAAATCTCACCACACTTTTTGATTCAGTGCCACCTTTTTCACCTGAACTGTGCTCTGGCTCTCATCCTCTCTTTGACCACCTGGTTTTCTTTTGCCACTGAGCATTCCAAGCATTATATCTTTTTCTAATGAGCTTGATTGCATGACGTGGCCAAAATAAGTGAGCCTCAGCTTTGTTTTGCCAACAACTTGTTTAATATGCCCTAACACCATCTCCAGTGCTTATCAGAGGAAAAATAGGTGTCTTTGTTTGCACAAATATTCAACTTATACTAGTAGCCAGTCAAATGATGCTGCAGTCCTAAATACAGTTACCTGGGAGTAAGGCATGTTCTGTTAAGGAGGACTAATTTTTCACTACATATGCAGGGGTTCAGGCTATGTATACTGGTGAACTTAGTTACATTATTAAGGAGATTAAATAACATAATTTCAAAGAAACTGCATACACTCAAAGGGAATATGTGATAATTGCACATATATTAGAAGCAAAGGAAAGAAAAAATCAGGGTGGACAAACAGAGTGGTTAAGTGGAATAATTATATGAATGTATAGGATTGCACAGTTTGGCTGCAATCTTATGCAGAGTAAAACCCATTAATTCAGTGGGTCTTATTTCTGAGTAGGCTTACATAGGATGGAGCTATTGAGGGAAGGTGCCATTGCTTTTCATGCTGATGTTGAGTTACACAGCTAGCTTTGGTAACAAAAATTGTACAAAACATAACAAGACTTCTGTACTGAGTTCTCCGAATAAAACTGATCTTGCAAAGCTGCCCTGGATAAGTGAGAACTCAGACTATCACATTATTAGAATTAGTTTTCAAAATCAAGGTTGCTTTAAAATAAAATATGATTCTGGGTTCATTGAGTTCATTGACCCACTTTCAAACAAATTCGTAAAGTGGGGCAAGGGGAAACCATGTTATAGTTATTGTCCACTATGGGACTACAATTCCCAGGAAGCAGAGCGCGCGACCCTGCAATTCGTCGGAGCCCTCCTTTGCTTTTATTAGGAGTTGTGGTATACTTATATTGCAAGTCATGGCAAGACAGACGCATGGAGATAGGAAAATATGCATCCAACATAATTAACGTCTGAAGATGGAATGTCTGGATGTTTTTAAGAACATTTCCCCTGTTTGGGTAGAAATGTTCGCTACCCATAGACAACAATGGAGAAATTGAGGATTTTAAGCGGCAATGATTGGACACAGCGTGTCCATCCAGAAACGTAATGTAGCGGCTGCAGAGAGAAGAATTCATGCTCTGATTCAGCTTATACCGCGTGAGAAGTGTTATTTGGCTTTACTTTTCGTTTTCAATCATATCAAAAAAATAAAGGCAATGCAGTATTACAAGACTGTAAGTCGGGAGTGGTTTTCTGTATTAATGTTCAAACATTTTAATGCCTTTGACACTTAAACAACAAATTTAAAATGGCACTACATTTCGTCGGCTTACAACGTTAACGTTGCAGGTTAGAAGTGTGCACCTGACAGATTTGGAATTTCAGCCTGCCTAATCTCCCTTTTAAAAGGGTTGCAGCAAAAGTCAGCTTCGATCAGCCTTTGCTCCGTTGATTCACAGGCAGCCGCGTTACATTGTAAAGGCTGCGGTTTTAGATTACTTTCCCGCGAGTAAGCCTCATTAAATTCAGTGGAGCTGACTTCTGACATATACTTCAAACTAGAAAAGGGGGGAAAAAACACATGAGTTAGGAAAAGAAATCTGAGCACACCGCTACTCAATTCTGTATTTCTTTACGGTTTTCAATGACCAATTCTTTCACTCCATTCCAGGAAGGGATGAAACCCGGATCTAGACAGTCTTTTTCTCTCTATTAGTAAATCTATGACCGCCGGACAGAGAGCGCGCGCGCGCGCGCGCGACCACATCCGCTCCCAGAATGCCGCGGGCGTGGGAGGTGAAAAAAGGGGCGTAGGAGGTTAGACAGCGCGTGCGCAGTGTGTCTCGGCGGGTAGAGGGGTTGCAGCGCTCTTTTGTTTGGCGGAGGCGGCTCGAACTGGGGAGGCCCGTTGTCCAACCGTCGCTCTCCCTCTCAGTCCCCCCCTCTTTTTTTCCTAAGCGAGACCGGCTTGTCCGGGCTGCTGTTCGCGCCCTCTCCACATTCCCCGCGTGTCCGCTTGTTTTCGTTTCCCCTCGTGCTTTTTGAGTGGGGCTGAACAAGGTACAGGGAAAGATGGGGCAAGTGGGGGGGGGGTCGCACAGGCATCTCGCGCGCGCGGGTTATGAGGGCTGAGCGGCCATATTGGGGGTGGGCTGAGGGGATGTTCTGGGCAAGAGGAATGTGTAAAAAATACGCGGGAAAGGATTGTTCGGAAGCGAACGGGAGAAATTAAACGAAAGGTTATGCATAATAGGGGGCTTCCTCTGGAGGGAGGGAGGAAAAAGAAGTGGGGGCATAACAGAGGTCTCCACAAATGTGTCTGCGAGAGAGGGGTAAACTACTTGGGGGGGTGTGATACTCAGTGAGAGGGTGAAATAGTCTGGCTCTGCCGTGGGGTGTGATACAGGCTTTATGTCAATAGCTGCAGATTGTTTGTGGTTGGCGCTTTCTAGAGAAAGTGCATTTGATTTCTGATGGGGGATCTGAAAGGCGTTTTACTTGGTGGAAAGGACTGTTACGAGGTGGTAATTTTAAACGGGTGTGCATCTAAATGTGCCATACAAAGCATTGAGAAGAGGCATCTAATACTGATCTCCAAAAATGTGTATATGTGTGAATGAGATCCAGAGTATGCATATCTAATGTGCAACGGAAGAAGTTGCAACTATGGGGATGGGAGTGCATGTCTAAAGATGGATGCAAAAAGTGAGGAGGGTTTTTTTTTTTTAAGTATACGGACATTGGAGGGAATTAGATATTTCCATGTGTTTACCAAGTGGGTTTTTTCCCTTAAGATGGGGGAAGAATAAGAGGTTATCGTACATGAATATATACTTCATGCTAGGTTGAGAGGAGGCCACTGCAACTTAACTATGAAAATGGCATGACTATTTGGACCTGCTTTTATCTCTGTCTGGTTAGTGCTTGTGGAGCTGGCTAGTCATTTGTTGAGGTGTCAGGAAGATTGACCAGAAGACTGGGATTGAGGCTGTGGTCTTATAGGGCAAGAAGTATTTCTGGGTAGGTTATTACTGCATCCTGAGAGTCAGTGTTTCTTGGGGCATTGCTAGTTGAAGGTGGTTTGCACCAAGCTTGCACTTAGAATCATAGAATAGTAGCGTTGGAAAGGGCCAGAGGGCCATTAGGTCGTATTCCCTGCTCAGTGCAGGACTCCCAAGTTAGGCCATCCCTCTCGGATGGTGTCCAGTTGCATCTCTGATGTCTCTAGTGTGGGAGAGCCCACGACCTCCTTAGGTAATTGGTTCCATTGTCATGCCACTCTCACAGACAAGAATTTTTTCCTGATATCTACCCACGAATTTGGGTTTCAGTAACTTGAGCCCATTATTTTGGGAAGATTGAGAAGAGATCCTGTCCTTCAGCCTTTCAAGTGTTTGAACAGTGCTACCATATCTCCCCCCAGTCTTCTCTTCTCAAGGCTTAAACATGCCCAGTTCTTTCAATCTCTCCTTACAGGGCTTTGTTGCCAGTTCCCAGATCATCCTTGTTGCCCTCCTCTCAACCCTTTCCAGCTTGTCTGCCTCTTTCTTAAACTGTGCTGCCTGGAGCTGGACACAGTACTCCAGATAAGGCCTAACCTGTGCTGAGTAAAGGAGAACTGCCCATGCACTTGCTGGATTGGGACCCAGTAATTGAGATGTGGTGGTGGTGGTTGGCGAGCATGCGCATCTATAGTGGGTTGTATAGATGAAATGGGGGGAGAGTAAATGCAATGTATACATGGATCATAGAGTAATGGGCTGATGAGTATAGGAAAGTTGACATTTTAGGGAAAAGAAGTGAAAGTCTCCATAATTGTCTTTAATGCAGAGGTATATGAGTAGAAGGCGCAAACACAGAACAGTGGTGGCAGTTGGGAATTATGGGATGATATCCCTAAATACATATGTGGGATTAGAGAGGAGGGGAACATAGCCATGCATTTTCACAGTGCATTATTTCCTGTATTAAAAGAAGTCTGTGATGGACTGCTTATTGTTAGACACTGTTATATGCATAGTAAGTAGCAGAGAATGACTCTTGTATAGACATGTTCTTGTATTTGGAGCTTAGCCAGACAGTTATTGGTTAGAAGTGAATCAATAGATAAGAAAAGGGATGGAAAAAAATTCTCCATAGATACAAGATAGGGGGAACTGGAGAAAGTAAAGCAGAGAAGATAAGGTCCATGTCCTATTGGAGTTGTATGTTCTGCCATTCAGTGCAAATTCATATTTCCAAGCATACTTAAAATACTAGAATACTGATATAATAACTGTACAAAACACAATATATCATAACCCTAGAATGTAGGAAAAAAGACAGCAGACATTTTTAGTGAATTAAAGTATCGCTTTCACTAGCCAGATGCTTAGGAATTCCACAAATACCTTGGCTATAGCCTGTAGATACCGTTCTGTAACTTGAATGTTTACATCTAATGTCTTGAAGGCTGTTGTAATGAAAAGCAACTTCATACTTGTTTTGAGGGTGGATAAAAATGGATTATTTTTCTATTTTTTCTTTAAAATAACCAGGTTTAAAATTATATTTGAGCTTAATGTGACTATAACGTCTAAAAACTGATCACCCTCTTATGAAAGATTATTTTCTTATGAAGGTCCAACTGAGCAAAATACCGTTGTCAATCGTTATCACGTACTTTACAGCTTGATACTGTGGACTAGGGACTAGCAAGCTATCATGGAGGTCAGGTATTTATTACTCAGTTTTACACCTTGTAACTACCTAATTTCTTTTAACTGGCTCAGAATCATTAATGTAATTATAAATATATTTGACTCTACAAATCCAGCAAAAAATACAGACATTACTTCAATTCCTTGTGTAGAAATTGGCCTACCCTGAAAATTGTGCAGGGCATTTATAGGATAAGCATTGTTTAATCATAACACAATTTTAGTATTGTATGTTAATAAGAATTTAATTCAGTGCACTATGACATCATGGGCATTACATTTTCTAGAATTAAACAAGCTATTGTATATGATTTTTCTATAGTATAAAATAAGTTAAATGTTGCATAAAATCTCTAGTCCTAAATCAGTATATTTTTATTGGCACAACAGCCAATTAGTATGCATCACTTATATTTTGTAAGGGTCTAAATGGAGAACTGTGGTTTCTAATACACTTAACCCAGTAATAAGTATTGACTACATAGCAGGGATGCATTTAGGAGCTCTATGGCTGCAGTGCTGTGAAGGTGTATTTAATGGAGAAATACTGGAAGGTATGGATGGGGTTAATGAAGCAGATAGATTGAGCTATTAGTGGATGATGGGGAAAAGGTATAGGAAAGAGAGGCCTATGGGAAAGAATGGGCCTCCTGTCACACTTTGATAGCAACGGAGTGTAGAAGATATTATTGCAAGTGGGGACAACACATAGCTGAGAAGACCTCTTAGGGTTGTATTAACACAGAAGTAGCAGTGGGTTTGGCCTAAGAGGTGCTCTGGAATCTCTGGAAAGTAGTCAGCACCACAGAGTCAAAGATGGCTAGTGATGAGAAGACTGAGGATAGAATTGCACAAAGGTCAGCTGAGCCCCTGCAAAATTGACTTCATTTCAATTTCTTTATTATTTTGATGTGAAAATCTAAGACTGGAATATTGTTCTATTTTAATTGAATAAAATGTGTTTGAAAGAAAATATTCTTTGGCCAACATATTTTCACACCTTGATAAAGTATTATATTTCATTTGCAAAATGCTTTTAGTAAGCAATGGCATGTTTATGTATCCCCAGATGCTAGCCATCTATTCCATTCAACTCTCCTTGCCTTTTCACTTTAAAGCACATACTGGCAATCAGTAGCCCACATGCAGTCCTCCATGCATTCTGCATGAGTACCAACATCTTTTCCCCACCACCACCATCAAATTGATCCAATTTTCCAGCCACTGATGGAAGAAAGGCACACACAAGGAGACATTCTGTGCATCTTCCTCATGTAAATCATGTTCCTTTTCGCCTCCCCACCATTCCAGCCTCCTCTACCAGCTGGCATAGAGAGGGGTCTACCCTTCTGTACCACAGCAAGTTAGGATTACAGTGACACAGTCCCTGTATCCAGCATTCCCAGTATGTGGTGTGTGTGTGTGTGTGTGTGCGCTAAATTTTCCGATACTGGCACCTTGGGGGGGGTGGAGTCCGTGTTACCAAGCTTTGCAAAACTGCATGTACTTTTGCTAAAAATTCAAGAGATAAATTATACTGCGGATGCAAATTGATTTCAAACCAGTGTTAACATGGGCTTTTCCTTAAGGAATTTTGGAAACAGTTCCTTAGATCCAGATGAGGTTAATTGCACAAGTTACACCTTTCTTGGTTTAAATTGCATCTGCAGTATGACTTGTAATCTGGATCCAAGTTCATTGCTGTGGGTGTGTTGAAAGCTCTCAGATCTACAGTTCCCAGCATTTGGGAGGCAAACCCAAACAGTTTAATTTAGGTGAACACATGCTCTTTAGATTTCTTCCCCCTTCCTCCCCATTCAGTTGCTGTTCATAGGTCTCCCTCCCTAGCCAGCCATCCTTCACTGCAAACGAGACCTGCTTCCCCTAAACCCTGACTGTGCTTGACGGCCCCTTTTGTCTGTTTTATCAGACCCCAACTGAGACAAGTGCATCCTCCTGCTGAGAGATGCTTTGCCTGCAGGAGGCCAGCACAGTTTTCGTTTTGCCAGTAGATTGTAACTTTTCATTTCCAGAAGCAGCAAGCTGTTTAATCTTCCATGCTTGCTGGGTGCCCTTGTGCTGCCTCCACCATTCATAGATGTTGCCTTTCCCAAACACTGCCGTGCTTGCTGTGAGGTAAAATACATAGGTCCTGTAGTTGTTCAAAGTGATGGAGGGAGATACAGAAGGAAACCTTTCCTACTTTCCATCAAGGCTGGCCTTAAAAACTTTAGAACTATGAGTTGAAACAACGTACTCCTGCAGAGTCTTTTCTGTGTAACTTAAGAAAACTTAGTTGCATAGTCACAGTGTGTGTATGCTGAGCAGCATTGCCTTATGTTGCTTTTGCATGCAAAATATTCACATTTGGTTTCAGAGAAACCTGACTCTGGCAGTCAGATAATGTTGATTAAGTGTGCACAGTTGTGACTGGTGTGGTCATTTCTTTTAGAGTCTATACTAGCATTAAGTTTTAGTATTTGCTATTTATGTTGCTTTCATTATATTTAGATGGGTACTATCCAGCAAGGCATGAGCTTAGCTCAAGCCCATGAATATCCACTGTTGTGACTGCAGTTGAGTATGATGAAGTATTTCTTCTATTTTTTTTCCCTTTGTATGCTATAAAACTGGTTTTCTCCATCTCTTAATAGCCTCCTTTAAGCCGCAAAACTGGCGAGCACAATGGGAAAAAAGCAAAACAAGAAGAAAGTGGAAGAGGTCCTTGAAGAAGAGGAAGAAGAATATGTGGTGGAGAAGGTCCTTGACAGACGGGTAGTGAAAGGCAAAGTGGAGTACCTGCTCAAGTGGAAAGGCTTCTCAGAGTAAGACTGACTTCCTTTAGTTTTGGCCATAGAAACTAGTCCATAAATATAGTAGCTTGTTTGCCCCCATAAACCTGTGTCAAATTACTTCTGGTACACCAGTGTTGAAAATCTAGCTCTCTTCCCTTGAACCAAACCTTGTCTGTCTTGTCAACCAGAAGTACTTATTAACCACAGCTCCGACTTACTTACCCCAAATAATGCACCTAGGCTGCTGGTAATCTCAGACTTAAAGCTAAACTCAGTTCCTCTCCCGTTTTTATTTGACCCCATAGCCTAAGTGTTAGCTCTTGGGTCTCTTTATCGGGAGGGGACATTAGAGACTCTAGGGGCAGTATTCAGTGTGTTCTTGCAGGATATAAAAGTTGTTCAGCAAGCATAGGTTCCTTTTCCCAAAAGGAAGAAGAGAGCTGCTTTTACAGAGGAAATAAGTGATACCACTAGTTTGGGTGCTTCAGTATATTTTCAGTGTAGCACTAGTAATATGGCCACTGTTGAGCAAAGAAATACCTTGTTTGTCCTAAGAAATGCTTTGGACTATACCTGCAGGTAAGTACACTGTCCTTATAAAGGCATAAGTAGCAGTTGCTACAGAAGGACTCTATATATGCTGTCTCACTTTTTCTTTTTTTCGCTCAGATATTATCCCAGATAATATCTTTCTTTCTCCAAGTATATTTAGCTCCATCACATGTGACCAAGACCTTTGAAAATAATATAGACAACTGGAAACTCTGGTAGTTTCCCTCTGCCACCATCACCCCCTTTTCTATCTATATCCTGTTGCATTTCATCAGCTTCAAGGCATGTTCTGAAGTTTTGTAACTTTGGTGAGACACAGGGACAGTCTACTTCTGCACTTTTAGAAATGTATCCTCAAATCCAAGCAGTTGTATTGGAGTTGCAGCAGAAATCAATGGAAGACTTAGTATGTTCCCATTTCTAGAAGATTTTTCTTTTGAGTGCCAATATTTCAAGGTCCCATAATTAGAAAAGGCTCCATTTTGCTTATAAGGATAATCCATGGGTTCTCTGGACCATGTGGGCACAAAAGAGTGTGCTGCCAGGCAACTAATTAACACTTCTGCTTTGTTTCCTGTTTACAAACCAGCCCACAAACACCCCAATTGTTTGCTGCAGCATCTGAACATGACACTCTCGGCTGAGGGAAAAGCAACCCTGAATTTTAACCCAGCAACAAACTCTGAGATAAAACTCTGGTTTGTTTCTCCCTGAACAGCATAGCCTGCCAAGTTCAGACTTCTCAGCGACCACCAAAAATGGGGTGTTCTGCTTTGGTTTGTAAACCAGAAACAAAAGTAGAAGCAGCAAGGGGTTGTAAGGCACCTCACCCACTCTTGTGTAGACACAACAAATACATAGATCGTTGTTACATGCAAACACAGTCAAAGCATCTTTTTATGACAACACATAAATTCTTATGTTCCTACTTGATGAACACATAAGAAAATTCAGTTATAACATCTGGTACTTTGCTAATTATCCTGCTAATAAGAGTTGTATTGTTGCAGTGAAGATAACACATGGGAGCCAGAGGAGAACCTTGACTGCCCTGACCTCATTGCGGAATTCCTGCAGTCCCAGAAAACTGCACATGAGAGTGACAAGTCAGAGGGAAGCAAGCGCAAAGCTGAATCAGATTCTGAGGACAGGGGAGAGGAAAGCAGGCCAAAGAAAAAGAGAGAGGAGGTAAGCAGATTCTCCTGATTTACGGCCTGCTGAGTGCTGCTAATGACTTGCATCTAAGGAATTAAAAAATGATAGAAATTTTTAAACTTACAGGGACAAGTTGTAGCTTGTGACAAAAAATTTGACTGCTTTATTTTGATGTTTACTGCATTTCTGTTCTGCCAGTAAGCAAAGCAGTCTGTGTGGGTCATAAAGCAAATGTTAAAAACAGAAAATACATAAATATGATCAGTATAAAATCTAAAACCTGTGGTTAGCCGAGCTGGATGCAGTTTGAGTGGTGTGTAGTCCAGTGGCTGAGTAGTGGCCTTCAAGGTTACAGCTGGCATGTTCAGCATCTGCCTTTGGTGCCTCTTGAGCTAGTTTCCTACTAGAACCCAATTACATATCCCAAAGAGGACGAGGTTTTACCAGGTTTGTGCATGCACCTCGCAGTGTGGATCTATACAGGGGATATAATAAGAAGCTGCAAGCAAAAGCTGGTGGTACTAGTCATACTCCCCTATGTGCAACTTTGGTGCCTAAAAAGATTGGGTGGGCTTTGTGACTGGGTTACCAAAGTGGGTTTCTCTTGCTTTCATGTGTATTACCCTTTGTAGAGCCTTGACGTACATTCTTTTGGATGTAGATGTTTTTCTTTTATGGGCTGCTTGTTTGTACACTTTGCCAGACTCCTTTTGGTCCTGCAGTAGTTTGATCTGGGTGGTAAAGAAAAAATAGCCAGACATTCCACAATATTTGGCATACATAAAAAGGTCTTTCTTCTCTTTGATAATTTTCCTTTTCTGATTTTCCTTTACTGATGTCATAGTTTGTTCATTCTTCTCTCAGCACCCCCATCCTTTTCCTACTCTTGGCATTTTCCTTTTCCACACCATTTCCCATGTTCTCTTCTCCTCTGTACTTTCTCCATGTAGTTTTGTTTTCATACCTTTTCCCCATCTTTTCTTTCCCCTTCCCATTTTTAGCCTTTCCTGTCCTATCCACCCATTTGTCCCATCGCCTCCCCTGCAAGCATAGCTTAATTGAGCCAAAGCATCTCACAGCATAGCTCTAGAAGACTTGTATATAATAAAAGGAAGGATAGCCTTTGTCTAGTTCACAGCCAATAAATTCCAGTTAAGCTAGAGCTCCGGCACCTGTTTCTCCCCTCTTGTGAGCATTCTCTCTCCCCCTCCTACCCCACAGGCTTACAATCCTGGTTTTTAAACATTTTTGCATTAAATAGAAATGGAGTTGCCGTCTAGCCAGGTGTCGTGCAGTCAGACCAACACTCAGCGGCTTCCATCACTGCTGAGTGTTGGTCATGTTGGCTGGGCCGATGGGGGTTCATATTCCAGAACATAGCAAGGCACCAGGTGAAGCAAGGTGCTGTCTGGTAAGATCACATTTGGCAGAGGAGATTCTGATAGGGGATTAATGTCCTGAGCTCTTTCCAGTGGTCTGAAAATGTAATGAGTAGGGGCTGGCAGCTTCCTAGGTTTTATTCCACTTTTGAAGGTAATGCACTTTCTTTCTTCAGGCTGAGAAGCCTCGAGGCTTTGCAAGAGGGTTTGAGCCAGAGAGGATTATTGGTGCCACAGATTCCAGCGGGGAGCTCATGTTCCTGATGAAATGGTAAGTTGAATTTTTGCAGTTTTTCCTTGTACATCCAGAAGTAAGAAATGTTAGACCGCTGCTGTACACATTTTGAGAATGCTGGTGCTTTAATGGTATAGGTGTCCATAATGAGATCACATAGCTTGAGCCCACAGGCAGTACCCTTATCTTCTAACATAAAAGCTGATAGAGGAGGAAACAAATTCACTTGACTGTGAGTTGCTTTTTGTTTGCCATCTAGTAGGTTTGACAACTTCCTTCATTTTGATCTAGCTGTCTTGAGCATTTTGACTATTTTACATAAAACTTGGAGAGAGAGTACTCAGTTGTGTGAACTTCTACATCTATGATCATAACTCAACAGAGAGAACTGTCCAGGCTGTGGGACTACTCCAACCTTCAGATGATTGAACACTGTCCAATGTAAATAATCCCATACAAATTAATCTACTTGCATGGGAAATTTTCCAAATCACATTTTCCAGTCAGCCCATATCACTGCTGCCTATTACCATAAACTTTCCATCCTTTTAAGGAAAGGGTATATGAATTTGACAATATGCCTGAATGTCTGGTTGTAAGCCCTGCTTGGTGTTATATACTTCAGAGGCCTCTCCTCACACATGTTCAGGATTTCTGGGTAGTAATTCTTTGATCATTGTGTGTTGAGCTACCTCAGGCTTCCCATCTTCTTGCAGCTTGATCTTTTTTGACTGCTTGCTTTGGGAGATACATGAACGCACCTGACAAGAGTTGTATATGTTGTGTGTAATTGCAGGGATCAAGTTAAGCCCATACCTGATGTGGTCAAACAATGGTAGTTGAACCCTGTATTAATTTCAGGAGTATAATTTTCAGTTTTGTAATTTTCACTTTAGTGAGGATTACCTTACTTCTCAGTTTTGCCCTGTGCTGAAAAGAGACTCTGTCATTGCCCATATTCCCCTGCACTGAGAAAGCAGAGGAAGATACTACTTCTGAAAAGGGCAGTGATCATTGTCTTGGAAAATAGCAGAGCTTCAGAGCTATCTATGGTGTCATGCAAGCCAAGCTACTGCTGGATGTTCAGCTGTACTTGAACTGATGAAACAAGTTGTACATTTAGGCTGCTTCTGTATCACCAGAATTGCTGTGCTGACAAGATGAAAATGAAAGTTAATAGAACTATTTAGAAAAGACTCTTGAAGAAGCTCCTGATGACATGATACCATTCTCAGCTGTCTATATTTGGTAAAAAGTTTGTAACATTAGAAATAGATCTTCGTACCTTCCCTCCAGAGTAAATCCAACTTTGCTTTTTCTACATGACTCTGCAGGAAAAACTCTGATGAAGCTGACCTGGTCCCTGCCAAGGAAGCTAATATCAAGTGCCCACAGGTGGTCATCTCATTCTACGAGGAAAGGCTGACATGGCACTCCTATCCCTCTGAGGACGATGACAAGAAGGATGACAAGAATTAACCTGCCCACCTTATGTCCCCATCCTCCTCTGGCCGACTTTTGTATTAAAACATAAGACTGTGGGTTTGAACATGAGAGGAAGCAAAGAGGCGCTTGGCTGAGGTGGCAGGGAAAGATGCCCTCTGTAGAAGCAGGACACTTTCTGTGCCCTCGACAGCTTGGTGTAGCAGCACTCTGCCCCTTCCTTCCTTCCTTCCTCATATATACATGGGGAAGCAGGAGAGAACAGGTGAGTGTTTCCCAGCTGTCCTTGCTTGGGGGTTGAAGACAAAATAACTCCATGCAGGATGAAGTCTGGGGATTGGACAAGCTGCCAAAAGGGACAGAAGGTGGAGGCTGCGTTTTCTTCGAAGACCATCTCTGTGATTTGCAGCTTCCCCCCTCAATAGTGTTAACTGCATTTTTACAGCTTAGCATGTGTGTAGTTTTTCTTTCTTCCTTTTTGCTATAATTGGTGTATTGTTGGGGTGGGAAGGGAGGGTGCATTCTGATTGATTTGGTATGGGGAGTGGTTCACAGTGTTCTGTATCCAGAATCACAGTTCTTACATATATGCCTCTTCCTGCAAGTGAAATCCACTATGCTTAGCAGAGAGGCTGCAGTGTATGCGTCCGTAAGTGTTAAGTTACAGTATGAGACTGTGACCATGAAAGCAGCCAGCTACTGGAATTGTCATGCTTTTAATACTAGAGAAGAGATAATGTCCACAGCTATTTTGATCTTATGCAGGTGACAACACCTGGTCCCAAAAGTACACGTTTTCTTACAACAGCATCCTTTTTATTCTGATCATCCAGCAAGCTCTGGAGTCCTGCTTAGTTTTTTTACTTTATTTACATGGACTTAAGATGTTTGGGGATGGGAAGGAAAGCAGGGATGAAATCTACCCATACAGCACAATGTAGATTTCAGAACATTCTATAGACACCTATCTTTTGTTCCGACTTCGGCAGTAGCAATTGCTTTCCTTGCCTTAGTCCTCTATTGCTTTCATTTTTAATCTAGTAGACTTCTTTGTTTTCACAAAGGACATAATTTTACCTCTGAATTTGTTCAAGCCCTAGCCAGCCACCAACTCCTCCTCCTTCATGGGGTGGTATGTACGTAGACATGTATTGTACAAACCTTTTTTAAAATAAAGCATGTGTTTTAGGTTTCTGTGAAAATGTTGTCTAAAACTTAAGTGTTTGGATTTTAACTTCATACTGAACTGTCTTTTTGTCTCAATAAAACTTTAGATTTATAGTCCTGATCTCCCTTTTTCCTCTTCCTGGTCAGCCTTTCTTGCAACTGTTTTACAATGTGAACTGCTGTAGCCATTATTAGAGAAATACTGAGTTAGTAGCCTTACACAATAGAGGAGCAGCACTTGCTTTGCTGTGTCAACTCTTAAGAAGCATGAACTATCTAACCAATATTCTAGCATTTTTGTTCTTTAACTACGTCAAATTGAAACCAGATAGGATGAGCAGCAATAAAAACAAAGTATGATGCCATCTGCTGTGAAACTGCTAAAAATGAGATTATCTTCAATATCTCTAAAGACTGCTTGGGAGTTTTAGAATCTTGATGCCACAACAAGGACCATGTTGCATATATATTGGTTTACCTCAATGGGTAGGCAAAATTATCTAGATCGTTTGGCTATTCTACACCCAAAATATGTCTTACTGTCCAACATGATGTATCCCTCACTGGCATGTAACAACTAGATTAAAGTCAGACAGCTATTTGCTGAAGATGGGTTTTCTGATTCCAAATGTTTTGGTCTCCACAGAGGAGGTAGTAACCGCTACCCATAAGGAAACAAATGAGGTAAGTTAGGATTTTATTATGATTGTATACCAGCATAGCTGAGACTTAAGTCTCAAGTCAAGTGAAAAATGGGGTGTAGTGCTCCCATATTGTGGTTAGGAGAGGGCACTTTGGCTGTAAATGTAGCTTGACAAAATGAGTTGAAGGCACATATACAAAAGAGCCACCTATGCGAGAGCAAAGCAGGAATCTCAGGTGCCTATGAAAAAACCTTTTATTATTGTTCAACACATTTTGAAAACTTCCTTTGGGGCTACCTGTCAGCTATATTTAAACCAACTATCCTTTTTTTGGCAGAGAAATCTGTCTTTTTACTCTTCTCTTTCATTGGTGCTTCCTGTAAATTTAGCTTGCAGTCCACACCCACTCCATGGCCAGGGATGCTTATAGGCCAAAATCTCTGCAAACCAAAAGGGAAGGTGTTTTGGCCTTCAACTCTGATCAGAACTAGCCAGCATAGTAAATAAGGAATGAGGAGTTGCAGACTAAAACATCTGAAGTGTTCAAAGTTGGCTGCCCCAACCACTGTTACTAATTTGCAGTAAAGAGTCAATTCCTGCTCTTCAAAGCCACAGACATAATTTCTAGAGAAGGAAGGGGCTCTTAAGCATCCTACCATCCATCCTCAAATTCCACACTGTTCTGTAATGGTACCCCCATTCCAGGTTAGTCAAAGTTCTGAACAAGAGAATTCGCCTGAACAAGAGAATTCCTGTAGGAGGTAGGACTACTATCCACATGAACTGTTCCAAATACAAAAATGATTACTTCCCTGCTGTTAATTGCCAAATTATTTAACTAGCTATTTCATAGGCACAAAATAGTTTATTCATATCTCATTTCCTTAAATGGCGGACCCTTAAAAATGAACAGCTACTTGTGATTAATTGAATATAAAGTAGCGTCTTTGCTCACAATTGCTTAAGATAATGAAGACTGAACATCTGTTTTAATGAAACTATATATAAGCTTCTCATGTGAGTGACAGTAATGATAGTTGTCTCCAGACAAACTTTCTGCCCCGCATTTTTTTGGATATTTTGGTGACCTTTTCATGAAAGCTATTGCAACAAGAAAAGGAATCATAAGAGGCAAAGATGAGTTCAGTGATGCAGCAGACATATGACTGCCTTCACCATATGAGTACTTTATACTCCATTTTTTAAAAAAAATCAATTGAAATGCAGAACTCCCAAAACATTCAGACAAATCTAAAATTGTTCTATTTGTGTATAGGAGACCCAGCATATTTACCCAAGATTCTAAAAGCTTCCATACAGGAAAGTGCTACCAAGACTTTGAATGAATTTGCACAATAGGGCAGCCCATCATGGGTAACTACCAATCCAAATCCAGAGTGCTTTCTCTAGGGTGAGCTGTTCTAGGAATTGTTTGACCCACAATGGCTGGCCATGTTATCAGGACTTAGGAGACTGATCCTGTTGCAGGAAAAGGTGAACAAGCTGCTTGGCAAGAGTGGCAAAAATCCCTTACCACTTTTATATTGATAGCTGTCAAGTGTATACAAGCTAGCCTATATGCAAGCCTTGCTTGGTCAATGCCTATATGGCACCTGCTGCACTTTGGAAGCAGACATTTACCAAGGCAAGGCTCCACATTTTGGTGAACCGCAAGTACATAATTCCAAAAGACCACTAAAAAGGAAAAAAATACAATTTTGATTGTACATTTTTATGCACACACATTTTTAAAACATGTTAACAAGTCAGTGACAGTTGCTCCAAAGCACTGCTTGGACATCAATGGAGCAGATGCCACAAAGAGGCAGAAGGCTCTAACCCTAACCCGCCCCCCACCCCTCTTGCAAACAACAGGGTCACAGTCTGCACAGAATTCTAAGATACTATAGCCTGAAGTGCCTGGTCTTGCCTAATCCTGGAAACTAAGCAAGGTCAGGCCTGGGTGATTTAAATATTGTGAACTACCCAGAGAGCTTGGGCTACAGGTGGTACAGAAGTGTAATAATAATGGTGGAAAAGAGGAGCAGCCATTGTAAGCCTAATGCACTATTCCGTGTCTTATGAGTTGTACTATACAGCTTATTTGCAGGGCAAGCTGCTCAACCAATATTTTAAGACTTCTAATGTCAGTAGAGACTATCGCACATCTACCATTCTCCAGACTTATTTACTCTTTACTAAGCAGTTGTTGTGAAGAGAAATCAGACAAGTAAATACTCTTACATTTTAGTTTCTGGCTACTAGGCAATTTCATTAAAAAAACACACACACAAAGCATGCTCAAATAGTGAATAAGCCATTTTATTTTTGTCCTGTGCTCACACACTCTCTCTCTTCTCTTCCCCCAACAGGTCACAGAAACCATTCAAAATAAAACCTCAAAGGAAAAAATAAATTAACACATGCACACATCAGGGCTCCATCCTAACCATCTGGCAATTCAGCCGCAGCTCCAACACATTTTGTGCTTCAAGTTTAATGCTGTCAAATCACAGGAGCAAGAGAGGTGAAAGACTCAACATTAGTTTACTTCCCACCCCACCCCACCCCACCCTGCAAGAAATGGCATTCAGAAAACAAGATCATACAGAATATCCGACTGCAAAAATTGCCCTCTACCACATAAAACAGTGCTACATACCCCTACAACCCTCTGGAGGATGCCCATTTCAGTGCTATACCCTCACATGCCATCACATACACAGGACTGACTGGCTGGGAAAAACCAAAGCCATTTAGCTCAACAGTTGCTGGTAAAGTCAGTAATACTCCCAGCTGTGCTATACTGCAAGTTAACAGCTTCGAGGATTGCCTCGGAGCTTGAGGCCAGCTGTGTTCAAGGCACTACCCTCACCCTTCACCCTTTTTTTTTTAAAGAGGGGGGGAAGGGGGAAGTTGGAATGACACCCAAGGACAGAAAGGACAGAAGGGAAACCAGCTGTGGAATCACAGTTAACACATCCAGTCTTTATGGCAAAAAGAACTTTCAGCAGCTTCGTTCATCTGGGGGAAGCACCTCCCTTCTTTCCAACATGCATACTAAGTTCATTCTAAAGGGGAGAGGCAAGTAACACAGGAGCACAGTGCCCTTAAAAAAAGAAAAGAAAAGCAAAGTGCCCATTAACAAAGGGGTTTGCTGTAGATGGCTATTCTCTGAATACAACATGCCCACTTAATGGGAGCAAACCCATTGTGCTGTAGACCTAGACCACGTGATGACCACATACTAGATTCCCACCTTGCAAACCCCAGTTAGGTGAAGGTGCACTTTTCACACCTGGCCCCACCTCTTTTCACCCAAAGCAGGATCCTCAAGCCCTTGGTGGGAAAAAACAGCATCGTAGCATGCAGTTTAACATGCACCTTGACATAATGCATCTTAATACTGGTTCCTCACTGTGGGCAGTGACATGCTTAGTGAGATGCACATCATGGTAATATTATTAATCTTTTGCAGTCTCCCCCTCCCAACATTTATGGCAGCCAAAATCTACCATCAAGGGTGTACTTGTCAATTCCTTGAATGGAAATCTCTCACTTCCCCTCAAGCTGAAAAGGGTTAAGAAAACATCCCTTCCCTTTTCACCAAAATAACACAATCTCATGTGTTCCACTTGTAGTTACACTTACACACACACGCGCACGCACGCACACAGATCTAGGAAGGGATGATGGCTAAGGTGTGGGATTCAGCTGTATTTTCTAATTGCACACAACTGATGTCAAAACTGGTTCTAAAAAAGCAAACCAGCTACCTGAAATATCCATGTTTTGGAAGTTCAAAGGAAAATAAAATACTCTCTTAAGCCTGCTCAGTCGCTTAACTTTTTTTCCTTTTTAAAAAAAATCCAGCTTTAAGAAATCAAATTTTCTACCCTCCACTGAGGCTCCCCCCACAACACACAGTATGCCAGCTAGTTCCCCCCTCCCACAACGTTCAACAATGGGTTCCAGGATGCTGGGGGCACAGGTCTTTCCCAACATGCTTTCCTATTCTGCCTCTCAAGACTTGTAGGCCCCCCGCCCAGCAGTCTGCTCCTATACACTGACTGGCAGCTATCATGGTTTGAGAAGATATATTGGATAAGAAGGCATGAAAGTTCCTTCAAATTCTTCCGGGCTCAGCCCTTCTCCAGGATGTAGTTTTAGCAAGTTTTATGCTCCCCTGCAGACATTCATCATCTTTCACTTTCTCCTGTCTTTCTGTTTCCTCTCTTGGCGCCTCCCCTGCTGCTCAGCCAAGGAGCGTGGTATTAGGATGACACTGCCATCACTGGCATGTTGTAGGGCATACTGATTTGGGGAGTAGGGCTGGCCATTCTCATCACGGAGGCGACCAAACACCTCCTGGTAGAGGCTCTGCACCTTTTGCTTCATCTGGCGGATGGACCTGAGGAATTCCACCTTCTCCCTGAGCAGCTTTGACTTGTCTCTCTGCAAATCCTCCACATCTCGTTCCAAATTGAGGATAGTATCTAGCTTTCTCTTACGACAGTTCTGGGCAGCCATCTTGTTTTTACCCCGCCTCCGGATGTCCCGGATTAGACTTAGCTGGGCTTCACTCAACTGGTACTTGGACAGGAGTTCATTGAATTCCTCCACAGGCAAGTTGATGATCTTCTCATTGGGAAAAGGAATCTTCATGGCTCGGGCACGGTGTTCATCTCGGCTCATCTGCTTATCTAGGAAGTCTGCTTGCTTATCCTTAGCACTTTTCTTCCCCATGCTGGCTGGCTGTGGCTCATCAGTGTCTAAGGTCCTGGGGGCCATGTTATAGGTGTGGTTGTGACCTACGTGCTCCAGGTAAGGCAGGTACTGCAGCTGAGACGGGTTCTGGTAGCTCATTCGACAGAATTTGCTGTACTCTGGCTGATACCCAACAGCCCCTTCTGCATCTTCAAAGTCTACATTTTCAGAGTCTGAATTGTAGCCTACAGCCCCCTCCTCAGAAAAGGAGGAAGAGGCTGAAGAGGATGAAGATGATGATGCTTCTGAGCTGCTGAGGGAAGCAGGGCTGTGGCTTGAGTCCAACGAGAGCCCTGAGTCTGAATCAAACTCTTCCTCCAGGCGGGAGGCCTGTACTGGGTTAAAGCCTTCTTCAATAGCCAAGTCCATCAAGCTAATCTCATCCAGCATGGCCTCATCCAGAAGACCCCCAAGAGGATCTGGGAGTTCAGGCCCAGATGTATCATTTACAGTGCTGTTTAGCTGGGGAGGAAAGAAGATCCCACTCAGATTGGTGGAGCCAAATGTGGTGTTGAAGCCAGTAGAGTTGTCAGGAACCAGCTGCAACAAAGCCGAGCTGCCAACCACTGAAGGGCTCTCAAGCTCAGAACTGAACAGGGAAGGGAAGTCCTGGCTGCAGCTGCCCAGCGATGCCTGATGCAGGCTGACATTTTGGTTAATAGGCGTGGATGGGGCAAGGCTGTAGTTGGCTGTCAGGATGTCTCCACCTGTGCTGTTGTACAGGGTCTCCCCAGCTGCTGTGCTGTTCACCTCCATACCCTGAAAAAGGAACAGGTACTCTTCAGACTCCAGGTATCATTATTATTATACCACATCATGAACAAACTTGCAGACAGAAGTCCCAGAATCAGCATCTGGAGAAGGAATACAGCAAATATAATACTTCATATTCTAAGTCAGGATAGGAAATGTGAAGCTTTCCAAATGTATAAACCTCTAACTCCCAGCAACCCTCATCAGAGGCTACACTAACTAAGACAGATGGGAGTTGCACACCAAAATGTCTGGAAGGTTGCATTTTGCCTCTGCTCTAAATACACCATTCTGGAAGATTTGAGTATATTAGCATATATGAAACACCCTTCCCTTCTACCTATAAGTGCAGAAAAGTCAGATATGGATCTCATTTTGCAAACAAATCAGGAATTCTACACCATGTTCTTAAATAACAAGGCACCATGCTCACCAGGTACTGCTCCTGCCCCCCCCCCCACCTCTATTCAGAAGGCAACACAGGCTATATTCCATATTAGTTCAAAACTTTGGTATCCTGATCAGCCCTCTACTCCCATTCATCCACCTGGTTCTCAGAAAGCAAAAAAATCTAAACAGAGGAGAAATGTCTCATTTCCTGGACTTACTGCTGAGAAGTCATTTTGGCAGGGCCAGAAAAAACCCTAGGCAAAATGCAGGTCTCTGGAGGAATGTCAACTGACTACCCAGCTGGCAGTCAGCAGTGAAAAACACATGCAGGGAAGGAAGGAACTGCAGGTGTACAAACAGAACTTACTAGCATATTGGGCTTGCTCATGTAACGTCACAGCCCACTGGCTGAATTTAGCTATGGATGCTGTTGTATTGTGTGACCCCAGATGACAGGGTTGAATGAGGGTTAAACAACCCTCAGATAACCCTAAAGCAAGCTTAAGCTAAGAGCTGTTCAACCCTCAAACAACCCTGCTGCCTGTGTGCGCATGGCATGGCAAGCCATGGCGAGTTGGGTACCTGTGGACACCCAGCATGATACAACAGCCCTTGCAGCTAAATTAAGCAACAACAGGGGCTGTTTTGTCAAGAGAACTAGTTCACTGATGGAAGGGTGGATTTCCGAAATACATTTCAGAGAAAAAAACTATGGCAGACACTAATAAAACCAATTCTTCTAGAGTTCTGAAAGGACAACCACTAGACATGTATCCAGCATTGCTGAGGATTGAAAAGGATTATCCTCCAGGTTACAGTGACCAATTGTGACTCTTGTTGAACTTCTATTTCAATCTCCCTGTAGCAAATGGCTCAGGTGAGATCAGTTCTGCTACTCTGCAGGTAGTCACACAGCACCACGTGTGCTTTGCTTTTGAGGAGTGGATTGAACTAGCTGGCTTTCAGGATCCTCCCACCTTTGCCGTTCCCCATTCCCCATTGCAGTGAATGATCAGAATGAAGTTACAAACTATTCTAATACCTCTTTTCTATTGTTACAAGGAAAGAAACTAGCTACTGCAGAGGGAAAGTCCTACACCAGGAAAAATCCCAGGAAGTTACAGTGACTTCCTATTTCACATTTTCCTGACATCTACCTGCCCTCTCCACAAATGCTTGGGGCTAATCCTTGGCCCAAATTAATTACAGGAATCACATATATAGCAAGATTCAATAACTTCTGTGGCTGAAAAGTCAGCTGAGACAATGACCATGGCCTGCACTGCTCGTTTGATGCCAATGCTGGTAGGACAAGGACTTATGGTAAACCCACCTGGGAGAAAAAAACAACATAGGAGGACCTGGAAAGGCCAACATATGAAGGCAACCAGCCCTCCTCTCACCTGTGTTTCCATGATAGACATAAGGTCCTGCCACTGCTGCTCCAGATCGAAGGGCAACTCTGTCTCTGTCAGAAGGGGAGACAGGAGCCCGTCTGGCACAACTGAGGAGCCGCTCTCAGTAGGCAGAGCTTCAGTTAGACTGGGGACATCTGCAGCTGGAAACTGAAAGCAATGTGGGTTTAACTCGTGGTGGGAATATGAATATGGCTGTCAAGTGCCAAACAGCAATAACATTATTGCACACACACATACCCACATGCATGTAAGAACATAAGCAGCAGCAAGCTGGGTCAGACCAAGGAGCGCCCCGCCCACAGGAAATCCAAAAGCAAGACATGAGAGCAACAGGATGCTCCTGCCCAAGTTCGTTTATTTTATTTTTTTATTTTTCGATTTATATCCTGCCTTTTTCCTACACAGGGCTCAAGGCAGCTTACATCTCCTCTTCCATCTTATCCACACAACAACAACCCTGTGAGGTAGGTTGGGCTGAGAGTCTGTAACTGGCCCAAAGTCACCCAGTTGGCTCCATGGCTGAGCAGGGACTAGAACCCAGATTGTCTGAGTCCCAGTCCCATGCTCTTAACCACGACACCACACTGGCTCACTGGCAACTGGTGTAACAGAGGTCTACTTTTAATCCTGGAGGTGGCATTTAGCCATCAGGACTGGCAGCCATTGACAGCCTTCTCCATGAATTTGTCCAACCATACAGATTGGTAGCTGACACTATATCCTGTGGACAAAATTCTATACTTGAGCTGTGTACTATGTGATGAAGTGCTTTCTTCTATCTGTCCTGGATCTCCCACCAACCAATTTCATGGGATGACCCTGATTCCTAGTATTAAGAGAGATGGGGAAAATGTCTCCCTCTCCACATAATACATAATTCTGTATACCTCTATCATGTCTTCCCTCACTCACCTTTATGCAAACTAGACACTCTCAGCTGTTTGAACCTTTCTTTATGGACTGGGATTGCCCCAACCCCTTGATCATGTTTGTTGCCTTTTTTCCCAACTCTACGATATCCTTATTTTAAGTCTGGTGACCAGAACTGTGCATAGTATTCTAAGTGCAGTTGCATCATAGATTTGTATAAGGGCAGTATAACATTGGCAGTTTTATTTTCAGTTACTTTCCTAATTATGCCTTACACAGTGCTTGCCTTTTCACAGCAGCTGCATAGTGGTCTGACATTTTCAGCAAGCTGTCCACTGCAACCCCAAGATCTCTAGATCGTTTTTAAAAATTGGTTTTACACTGGCCATTCTCCAGTCCTTGGGTACAGAGGCTGATCTTAGGAACATGTTGTATATTTTTGTTAAAAGGTCAGCAATTTCATATTTGAGATCTTTAAGAACTCCAGAATTAATAATATCTGGGCTTTTATTAACTTTCAGTTTTCCAATAAGATTGAAAAATTTATCGTTTGTCACTATAGCAGTGAAATTCATTCAGCTTCTCCACAATTTCCTTACATTTCCTTAGAACGTAACTCCACTGTCACCCGAACTGCTTCTCTAGCTATTTTCCTGCTTCTGATATAGTTAAAGAATTCTTTATTGTTTGCCTTGAGGAAGTTTTCCTAACTTTTCAGGCATCCTGAGTCTCAAACACAGCCTGTGGTCCCATTCTCCACTCCCAAGGTTTTCAGTGTGCACAGTATAAAAGCGTTAAAGCACAGTGCAGGCAGGGGAAGACAGCACCTCCACCACCCTTCTTTCCAGTTACTCTAACTGGCCATGTGCTTATAACAAGAGCAAGCTTCCTTCTTGCAGGAAGGATTCACTTTGCAAAGCTTGCAAAAGCCAGCACTGTAATTTAAACAGGACAGTAAGTTTCACTGGGGTTTACCTGATCAGCTTTCCAGGTCACTTTAGATATTTCCCTCATCTCAAAGCCTAACCCACCTCACAAGGTTATTGCAAGGACATAAGAGAAGATCATTCAATCTGTTTTTATGCTGAAAGCATGCATAGAAAAAACAAGCAGTGTAAATACTAAGCAGTTAATTGTCACATTTCCAAGGGCCAGTGCGCGTGCACATGCACGCGCGCGCACACACACACACACACACACCTCTGAATTCTCCCCAAAAGGAAATGTGGCCTCCAGCAGCCTAAGGCACTCCTCCAAGGACAAGGCTGTCTGGTCTTCAACCCCAGGCACCTGGAAGGGGAAAAGAATGTAACAATCACTTTAATGCACCATGGCCTGGCCATGAAGGTCATCTATATCTGTACTCTTCCTTTCAGACCACCTTTATTTCCAACTGGCAACATTAAATTCGTAATTTTTACTGTGCATGTTCCTCTCTCTTCTCAAAATCTGTTGTACAGTTGTGCTTTAAAAAATAGCATCAGCACTGGTGGGTGACCTAACTTAGTTGTGAATCATGATCCACCAACTAAAGGCCTATGATCTGGTTTAACCCATGAGTCTGTCAGTTCGGAACCACACAGATCCTACCAAGTGATATCCAAACACTAATCTCAACAACTAGTAGGACTGTGTAACACAGGATTTCCACTACCTCAGCCAGCTCCTTGTCCCTACTCCATGTTAATTATCCCAATTACCTCCCATCATGGCCTTGTACCACTCCTTCCTTATCCCAACAACAAGATTCCAAACTGTGGCAAAGATCTAAATGGTATGATCAAGATACATCTTTCAGAGCCATATTTACTCATATGTAAATTATCTATGTGCAGAACTGGATGCAGCCACAAGAAGGGAAGCAGAGCAGTGTTCACAGTGACTACCTCTAGAAAGATGCCCAAAGGGCAGTGTTAATTGTGGTGTCAACCTGTGCACAGCCTGTCCTATCATTCCAGAGGCTGACTTGGAGAGGCTGTGATGCAGGCAGCCTTAAGCAGCATGTACACTATTCCAGGGAAACATAAGTGGGAGTAGGCCAAGGCATTCAGCAGACTGGTTGAGGAGACCTGGTGCAATCAGCTACTGTAATTTCTATTCTCTCTGTTCACCTAAACCCAAATAATCAAAATTTTACTTTCTTCGATAGGGCAACACAGTCTACCCAGAAGGATCAGTGTGTGTCAATATAAAATTTAAAAAGTGTAACATACAGAGAGAAAACTCCATGATAAAACAGCTACAGTTACTGCTGAACTAAGGCACTCAGGCTGCTGCTTAATTCTCTGAGAATTAAACCATATGAGAGCCAGTTTAATTCTCACAGAAAGGAGGTGGGAGGAAGCCAGGACACTGAGAAAGGATCAGTGGATGGTGGTGTGAACCCTGAGAAGCAGCAATAATGTTTACGGCAGACAACAAGAGGTAATGGAGTGCAGACTGAGGCCTTCAACCAGACACCTCAATGTACCCAACACCTATGCATCCAAACTGAATGCAGACAGTTCTGCCTGCTTCCTGGAGTAGAACAACACTGAATACCAAGGTCTCAAGGAATAGTTTTCCAGCACTGCAGGCTGCCTTCACTTTTCCCCTTCAGAAGATAATATTTTGTTTCAAGGCCTACCCAAGCACAGAGCCAATCAGAGGCAGCTGAGGCTTTCCTTGCTCATCTGTTCAGCAGCTAAGGACCTCAATCCCAGAACACTGGGAAAAAGCTGTCCTATTCCACCAGGAGTCATTTTTTACCTGTGCAGGGAAGCTCTCGCCCGTCTCGCCATCCACTAGCAAGGCCCTGTCAGCAATGTTGCCCCCTCTGCTCCTCCAGCCATCCCCATGCTCCTCCCCATTACTCGGTTCTTTGTCCACTTCGTTCTCTTTTTGGCGGTGGCTGTAGTCAAAAATCTCACGCCCAGCTCCAAGGTCAATATCCTGTCTCCACAGGATGTCAATTAAATCAATGTCCTAAAAGAAAAAAAAAGGAAAATATGACTCTCTCTTCCACAGATGCCCCCTCTTCTGGAGAATGCCCTCCCCTGAAAAACTCTCAGCATTTGGGAGCACCTTCACCCAAAGCACTAGGATAGCTTAGCCTCTCAGTGACACACAGCCCACGCCACCATTTGACCCTGCTCACCTCCAAGTGTCGCCCTTCATTCTGAATGGGGTGCGGCCCCATCTCTCCGACTCCTTTTCTGGACCATCCCCGTTGTCGTGGTGCTCCAGACACCTTCCCCCCACCTACAGCCATTCTGCACTGGGAGATCGCCAAGAGCGGCTCTGCAAAGAGGCTGCTCCGGGGCACAGACTGGGAACTCCATGAACAGCAACAGAGCTGTCTCCTCCTCGCTGCCCATGCTACGCAGCAATGCTCTCTCGTCCAGCCAGGAGGGAGTCTGCAGCTTTAACCGCTCAGACGGCTGGCTGGCTGGCTGGCTGGCCAGGGGGGGGAGGGAGGGAGGGATGGAGGGGGGGAGGGCCAATTGCCATTCTGGATTGCTGCTCCATAGCGGGCTTGCATCAGCCTGTGGTGCCATTCTGTGGATTTGCATAAAGGGGTGGAGATTCTCTGCATTTTCAGCCACCTGATGCAACTCGAGAAAGCAACCAGGCTTGCCATGCGTGCTGTGCTTTGCCAGCTCCCTCTGCTCCAGACAGCAGAGCTGCCTACCAGCCAGTCCCTCCAACTGAAAGCAATCACCTGAAAAACGCTATCCTCTTCCAACCGCAAAGCAGCGATCAGCACCTCATGTGGACAGGATTCTAGGCATGCTTTCCCCTTCGGAATGCCACCTCCCTCTAAACAGCCTCCCCTCCACACAGCATCCTGCAAATTCTTCCTCTGCAGGGCAGGCTGCTCCCAAGACAAATCCACCCCCACATTATATTTATTCACACTCTACAAGAGCATGTCCCTTTCACCCAGGCCCAGCCCTGGAACTGCCAGCCACACAGATGCCTCCCCACCCTGTAGCAGCACAGGAACTTGTTCTTTCAGTATTATAAGAAATCCTGCAGTTAAGTGCCTTCAGTGGCCTGTACTTGGGGCCCCACCCTTCCATATCTCCATTTCCCACAGAAAACAGATACCCCACCCCAAATGACTATTTTACTTATGCATCAAATGGAGGGAACAAACAGGTCCAAATTTGGGGTGTTAGACGTATTTATTTTAAGTTGATGCCTTTTTCTTCCAGCAGGAACCCAAAAAAGTAAAGTGCCCCTTATTTCAGAGCACAACAGTTTATAAAACAAAACAGCGTTGTGTTTTATCTTACCTCCACTCCTTGTCAGTGCATTTGGGTCTTCCATCTAGCAACACTATTCAGATTTATTCTCCTGTGTCAACACCTTACCCTCAAAAACTGGTCAAATATTTCAGGACTGACTTACAGAACATATTTGTTGCTAACTGTTAGTTCCTCTTTCTTCTCAATCCTGTTCTATCCTGGACCCTCAACATTCTTACCCCAAAAGACCCAATTGTTCTCTGAGGCCCTCGGTCAGCCCAAAACATCCATCTGGATTACTTCTTCTCACTTTCTCTCCTCTCTGGTATTCACTAAAATTAACTGAGTGAATTAAATTATCTAATTTGATGAGCTTAAGCATCTCCCTATCCCATAAGAATAAGCTGATCCAAATGGGTAGTTTGCCCTTTCACATTGTCTGATAGCATGTCCCCCACCAGTAAATACTAATTTAAATTAAGGCTCCTGACCCAGGTGGATGCTGTGTCCGACAGAATATTACTGACTTCTTGAGCTTAGCACACCCTACCAGGGTATCATTAGCAAGGGACCAACCAACCTCACCCACCCCATGTATCATGGTGTAAGGGGCCAGAACACCCACATGGATTCAAAGGCATCTTCACTCTCCTTCCCCACCACCCCATCATCTCAACAGCTTGTCCCTTATAGTAATCACTCATATATTAGAACTCTGCCCATTCTCCTCCACCCTTCTTCCACAGAGATCACTAGTACAGGACTCCCTAGAATTCACACATTGTCTACCGATCGGTTCACCACAGAAAATAGGGACTCTGCCTACTCTACCGAGTTTTTCAAGATAGAAGCTTTCTTCTGGACTGATCAGAACATTCAGTTAACACACACCCCATTTCTCCTTTCTCTTACTGCCTGTCCTCTTACTTATCACACACCCTTGGCCTCTGCAGATTCTGTGGGTGCCTGGTGGGCAGAGATCTGGCGTGATCTAGTCTAGAGCAAGCAGGCATGAGGGGTGAGCAAAGGGTTAAAGGGAAGGAATACCTTTCTCATGTCCCCAGCTGCCGCTCCCAGAGCTGTCCACCCAGATCATGGTCTATGTAGAGCGCAGATTCCGGGCAGGCAGAGCTGGGTCACCCAGGCAGGGTGCCGGACAGACATCTCCAGTTTCATTTAAGCAGTTGCTCTTTTTTTGGCAGGCTTGCCAGCTGCCCCTGAGTTGTTTGGAAGCCCCCTCCTTGCCAGCATGTGACCCACAGGTGCTGTGCTATAGCCAGCCCCCCTCCCTCCTGCTCCTCTCCAGCATGAGATCCAATCCTCAGCTCTCCTCAGCTTGTTGCTTAGAGAGGAGTTCCGGCGAATCCCCACCCCCTGCTCAATGCCCAAGCTGCAGAGATGGAATCCCCACCCCATGTGCCATGCTGAGGCTGCAGTGAGACTGAGACAACCCCCCCACGCCCGTTACCTAGGCTGCAGCCGGAGCCAATCCCCTCCCCCAGGTCACCGCGGAGGATGCAGAGGGAGCCAGGCTCCGCCCTGGGCTGGTTACCTAGGCTGCAGAAAGAACCAATCACGAGCCTCGGGTCCCTGCTGAGGATGCAGGCGAAAGGGCTCCTCCTTCGCATCCTAGGTGACGAGTGCAAGCAGAAAGCCAATAGCTTCTCCTCTCTTCCACCCCACCCAGGTCGCCCTGTGAGCTGCAGCAATGTTTGGGCCTCTGTCTCCTTGAGAAGCTCCCACGCCAGGATGCCCCACCCAAGTCAGGCAGCAATGCTTGCAATGGTGCAGGGGGAGCAATAAAAAGAAGAAAATGATTGCCGACACGTTTTCTCATATTTTGAACATCACCTACCAAAATACATCCTTCAAACAATATAGTTATTCAGAATATCTGTTCTTTTTT